TATGAGTCATGGAATGTTTGCTGTAAAAATTGTAGATCAAATATAGGCTATGGAATGTTTGGGGCAGCAAACACAGGTCCATTTTTATGTAACAATTGTTTATCAAATAAGAATCATAAAAAATTAGTATGCAACAACACTATTTATAAAGTGAACCCTGCAACTAAAATGTTTAATGGGTATCTCTATAATATATCTAATAGATTATGCTCACATCAAAAGCAATAATTCAACAAAATAAAAACATGATTTGTGATTACAGACAATATACAAAGCATGTCAGTGGATATACTCTAGCTAAAGTGTGGTACAGTAGTAGGAAGATTCAGAAACCATCTCAGCAGTTAACATCTTTTAGTGCACCCATAAATGTCATTTAACACACCTGAAGTTTTATTTAACACACACAAGAAGTGTTGTTACCACATAGAAGTGTCATTCAACGCACCTAGAAATGTCATTTAACACACCCAGATGTGTCATTTATCATATCGATCTAGAATTGTCATTTAATACATGCAGATGTGTAATTTAACACATCTGTCTAGAATTGTCATTTAACACACCCAGAAGTGTCAGTTTTACACAGCTCAAAGAATTTGAGCCATTGAAGACATTAATCTATAAGGGTTATCTACACACCCAGAAGTATTATTTAAGACATCTAGAAGAATTAATAAGCACATCTAAAGTGTTATTCATTTTTATGGAAACCGAACAGCGTGTGAGCATTTAGTCTGAGGCATAGGATGACTGACTGAGCTCCACATATACATGCCTTATCAAACATGGCAATGAAGTCAACCATTTGTATATTAGATTTCCCAATCATTCTGACATAGCTCAAAGCCAACTACTCAGATTTTTTTTTTTTATATCACTTGTGGTATGTTGACCTTTTGCCTGTCACTGAAGGTGTGTTGACCTTTCACCTGTCATTAATGATGTCTTGACCTTTCACCTCTCACTGGTTGTGTGCTTAATTTTTACCTGTCACCAGTTAGGTACAATGACCAAGCAGATGTAAACAGATAGGCAATTTTGCTTTGGCACAGAGCAAGCCCATGAAAACAACATTCAAAGATCAGTGGCTCAGTCAGAGAAATCATCATACATGACAGCAACAAGAAGAAAAACTCCAGGGAACATGTAATGATGGGATGACACTGACAAGAAGAAATGAACAAGAAAGCACATAATGATGGGATGAGGGTTGAACTTCAGCTCAACTGGTGTCCGATAATGTTTTTACCAACAATGATATCAAACAACATGCCATCAGCAACAGCAGGGAACAACTCAGCCGGATCCCCACAGCCTGGTAGGCTTCGATGGTTTGCTGCAGACGTATGTCTATCAAAATCTGACCCTCTGAAATGTACACGTTTCATACATTAGTACCTCAAAGACAAGCTACATAGACCTTGTTCCTTCACTCACTCAATAACTCACTCACTCACTCTCTCACTCACTTACTCTCTCACTCACTTACTCATTCATCTAATCACTTACTTCCACACTTATTTTATCACTCACTCACTGATTCCCTCACTAACTTCACACTCATTCTGTCACTCACCTAGACACTCTCTCACTCCCATGCTCACTCTGTCATTCACTCCCACATGCACTCACTCTCACACTTACTCTCTCTCACACTCACTCATTTATACACTTCTATACTTGATCATCTCCACCCACATTCTTTCATTCACTCCCACACTCTCTCCCACACTCACTTATTCATTCACTCACCCACTCACACTCTCCTACACTTACTCACCCCCAAATGTATTCTCACATTCATTCAACACTCTCTCACTCACTCCCACACCCAGCCACTAATTCACTCACTCACTCCCACAATCACACTTTCACTCAGTCAAACACAGATCCACTCACTTATAAACTTCCTCACTCCCATCTCACTTCTTTCTTCTTCTTCTTCTGCGTTCGACATCAGTCATGCTACACATTGAGTCTCATCTGTGTCAAAAATAGGATTGTGCGTTTAAGGTCACCAACGGTCCCCCATAGCTTCTCTCGCAATGTGGATCCCCTGGGCCAGTTCCACAGTCTTTGCTGGGAGAGGTAAGGGCAGTACTGCAGTATGTGCTCAGGGGTCTGTCTTTCTGCTCCACAATCACAGGCAGCAGATTCTTTTATGCCTATCCTGTACAGGTGTGCTCGAAGACCACAGTGTCCAGTCCGAAGTCTAAAAATATATCTCATTTCTACACTCACTCCCACACACACTCACTTCCACTCTCACTCACTCCCACAATCACACACTCACTTAATCCCACCCCCACTCACTGCCACAATCACTCACACACACAAATTCACTCATACCCACAATCACTCACACACTCAATCACTCACTTAATGACTCCCATACTCACTCCCATAATTAATCACACACTCACTCACTCACTCACTCACTCACTCACTCACTCACTCACTCACTCACTCACTCACTCACTCACTACCACACTCATTCACACTCACTCACTCACTCACTCACTCAATGACTCCCAATCTCACTCCCATAATCAATCACACACTCACTCACTGCCACACTCACTCACTCACTCTCACTTATACACTTACTCACTCAATGACTCCTACACTCACTCATTCCCACAAACAATCACACACTTACTCACTCACAGCCAATCACTTACTCTCTCAACTACTCCCACACTCACTCACTCCCACAATCAATCACACACTCACTCACTGCCACACTCACCCACTTCCACTCTCATTCTCTCACTCATTCACTCACTCATTCCCTCACTAATTCAATGACTCCCACACTCACTCATTCCCACAATAAATCACACACTCACTCACTCACTCCCACTCTCACTCCCACTCTCACTGAATCACTGACTTACTCCCTCACTCACTCACTCATGCAAACACTCACTCTCACACTCACTAACACACTCACTCACTCATGCAGTCATTCACACCCACACTCACTCTCTCACTCACTCACTTAGACAATCACTACCTCAATCACCAACTCACACAATCACTAACTCCCAAACTCACTTATACACACACACACACACACATACACACACACACACACACAAAATCACTCACTTATTCACTTACTCTCACACTCACTCATCCAATCACTCACTCAAACACACAATCACTCCAACAATCACTCCTCACTCAAGTTGCTGGAATGGTTTCCATCCATGTTATGGAAAAAACTGCACTGGACTAAATGGAACAAAAGAGCAGACTGCCAACTCTGTATTATGTAACATGGCACAGGCAGATAATGATGATTGTAGCAAGTGCTACTGATCTATATCCAGTGCTACTGATCTATATCCAGATGATGTAATGCAGTATGATATATTGCTCTTTGATGTACCTGCTATAGGTTGTATTACTGAAATACATTTTGATGTATTTCTTTTTCATATCTTATTGTACAATGCTTGGCAATATCAAAGTACCATGATATGTACTGTGGTATCACTTCTTGTTGTATCACATTTATTGTGTCATGTACAGTTGTATCACTTCTTGTTTTATCACATATTATAGTATCATGTTCTGTTGTATCACTTCTTTTTGAATCGCATATTATAGTATCATGTACTGTTGTATCACTTCATGTTGTATAACATATTATGGTATCATGTAGTGGTGTATCACTTCTTGTTGTATCACATATTATAGTATCATGTACTGATGTATCACATCTTGTTGTATCATATTTTGTAGTATCATGTAATGTTGTATCACATATTATAGTTTCATGTACTGTTGTATCCCTTCTTGTTCTATAACATATTATAGTATCGTTAGTGTTGTATCACATATTATAGTATCATTAGCGTTGTATCACTTCTTGTTGTACCACATATTATAGTATAATGTAGTGTTGTATCACAAATTATAGTATCATATACTGTTGTATCATTTCTTGTTGTATCACATATTATAGTATAATGCACTGTTGTATCACTTCTTGTTGGATCATGTATTAGAGTATTGTGTTTTTTAAATCACTTCTTGTTGTATCAAAAATTATAGTGTCATATACAGTTATAGCACTTCTTGTTGTATCACATATTATAGTATCATGCACTGTTTTATCACTTCTTGTTGTTTCACATACTATAGTATTGTGTAATGTTTTATTACATATTATATTATCATGTACTGTTGTATCATTTTTTTATTGTATCACATATTATAGTACCATGTACTGTTGAATCACTTCTTGTTGTATTACATATTATAGTATCATGTATTGTTGTATCACTTTTTATTGTATCACATATTATATTATTGTGTACTGTTGTATTGCTTCTTGCTGTATCACATACTATAGTATCATGTACTGTTGTATCACTTCATGTTGTATTACATATTATGGTATCACGTAGTGGTGTATCACTTCTTGTTGTATAACATATTATAGTATCATGTACTGATGTATCATTTATTGTCGTATCATATTTTGTAGTATCATGTAATGTTGTTTCACATATTATAGTATCATGCACTATTGTATCACTTCTCGTTGGGTCACGTATTATAGTATTTTGTATTTTAAATCATTTCTTGTTGTATGACATATTATAGTATCATGTACACTTATACCACTTCTTGTTGTATCACATATGATAGTATTATGCTCTCTTTTATCACTTCTTGTTGTTTCACATACTATAGTATACTGTAGTGTTGTATCACATATTATATTATCTTGTACTGTTGTATCATTTCTTGTTGTATCACATATTTTAGTACCATGTACTGTTGTATCCGTTCTTGTTGTATTACATATTATAGTGTGGTGTACTGTTGTATAACTTCTTGTTGTATCACATATTATAGTATCATGTACTGTTGTATCACTTCTTGTTGTATCACATATAGTTTTGTGTACTGTTGTATCACTTCTTTTGTAGCACATATTCAGGTATTGTATAAAGACATCCTCTCACTGTGACTGAACTCACCTGTTGTGAAGTAAACTGTTGGGCTTTTTTTGCCAGTTCCCCCAAAACTAGTTGCAGCGATTCTCATGGCATAAAGCCGGTGTTCCGAGATATTGTGTAGTGTGGTCATAAACACATTGCCAGGTATTTCTATCATCTCAGCCCCACGCCAGTCCTCACTGGCCGTCCACAGCCAAATCTGAACAAGTACAAATGCAAGCTCATCCACGTGTTCTCAAAACATGCAATGGTAAATATGTCATCAGTAATCAATCACTAAATATGTCATCACAGAAACAATCACTAAATATGCCATCACTCAGTCAGTCACTAAATATGTCATCACTAAATCAGACACTAAATATGTCATCATTTAATCAATCACTAAAAATGTCATCATAGAATCTTTCACTTAATATGTTCTCATTCAATCAATCACTAAATATGTCATCACAGAAACAATCACTAAATATGTCATCACAGAAACAATCACTAAATATGTCATCACAGAAACAATCACTAAATATGTCATCACTCAGTCAGTTACCAAATATGTCATCACTAAATCAGACACTAAATATGTAATCACTAAATCAGACATGAAATGTGTCATCATTCAATCAATCACTAAATATGTCATCACTAAATAAGACACTAAATATGTCATTATTCAATCAATCACTAAATATGTCATCATAGAATCTTTCACTTAATATGTTCTCATTCAGTCAAGTGCTAAATATGTTATCACTCAGTCGTTCACTACATATGCCATCTCTCAGTCATTTACTATATATGTCAACCCTCAATCGGTCACCAAATATGTGATCACTGAGTCAATCCCTAAATATGTCATTACCTGAATCAGTCCTTAATATGTCATCACTCCATTTATCAATAAATATGTTATCACTCATTCATTCACTAGATATACAATCACTTAATCATTCCCTAAATATATATCCTCTCTATCAATCACTAAATATGTCATTACCTAGTCAATCACTAAATACCTTATCACTTAATCAATCACTAAATATGTAATCACTGAATCATTCACTAAATAGGTCATTACTCAATCACTAAATGTGTAATCACTCAATCAATCAATATAAATGTCATCACTCAATCAATCATTAAATATGTCATCATTGAATCATTCACTAAAAAGATAATTAGTCAATCAATAAATGTGTCATCACTCAAACAATCAATATAAATGCCATCACTCAATCAATCATTAAATATGTCATCACTCAGTCAGTCACCAAACATGTCATATATTAAAAATCACTAAATATGTCACCCTTCAATCAGTTACTAGATATGTTATCACTTAGTCAATCACTAATTAGGTCTCACTCAATCATTCACCAAATACGTCCTCACTGAATCATTTAGTAAATATGTCATCAATGATTCCTTCAATAAATATATCATTGTAAATTCATTTTAATAAGGCAGGCACTGATGCAGGAGACAGGGTAATCTACAAACAACATAGCCTGTGATGTGTAAGATGAGACAATCAACATAAACATAACCTGTGATGTATAAGACAAGACAATCAGGATACAACTCAGACTGTGATGTGTAAGACAAGATGATCAACATACAACACACTCTTTGATGTGTAAGATAAGACAATCAACTTGCACCATAGCCTGTGATGGTTAGACAAGACAACCAATATACAACATAGTCTGTGATGTGTAAGACAAGACAATCAACATACAACATAGCCTGTGATGTATTGTATAATACAAGACAATCAACATACAACATAGCCTGTGATGTGTAAGAGAAGACAATCAATATACAACATAGCCAGTGATGTCTAAGACAAGACAATAAATATACAACATAGCCTGTGAAGTTTAAGACAAGACAATCAACATATAACATAGCCCATGATATGTAAGACAAGACTATCAACATACAACCCAGCCTGTGATGTCCTCCTCAATCTGAGCTGTGGTGATCCCTCTCCACCAGACACGAGCTTTACCAAAACCGGCCGAGGCCACGCGAACCTCCTCTGAATAGTGCAGGGCCGCTATGTGGGTGGAGTTTAACAACAAGGAATAAGTCCCATACATTCTAAAATACTGAAAAAATATAAATTATCTTGTGTCTGCTGGTACCTCAGACACATTTTAACATACAAAAACAAAAATTTTCTTGTGTCTCCCAGTCTCCCAGAAAATTTCTAACATACAGACATAAGTCATTGTAACAAGCAAAGCCAAATCTGGTAATCTGGTAATCCTAGGTTCAGCTTCATAGCAAAAGGGTCACCCCATTTTTGCTCCGCTCCTGTGCCAATGAAAAACACACAGAATGTTTATCACAGTCCCTTGTGGAAAGATTGACACACTGCTGTCTCAGCATATGCACTAGCATAAACATGCATTAAAAGCATATGGTAGCCATCCGAAGTGCTAACACAAACAGTCCAAAATTAGAAATGCAGTTCATCATGGATGGTAGCACAGTAGAAGTCACTAACAGAGCAGCAGTTGAACACGTGATCAATTTTAATCACCTAATGGCACCACCAATATTGCGACAACCGGCATCGCACCATTTTCTTAATCTACAATTCCCACCACCACGTTGGTCACAGTCGAAAAACATTCCGAATGAAATCCACAGCTTACAGTGTCATGCCATGCACTCAACTCAAAAGCCGGGCAATGAAACTATATCGTTCCAGTCTAAAAATGGAGCAAAAAAAAATTTGCTACAGCTCAAAACAGTAGCCGTGCCCAGCGTCCATTTTGACCTGAAGCATTATGTGAGGGTTAATAAACGGTCACCCTAGTAGTACCCTATTATCTGGGGAAGAGACTTAGGACATTACATCCATTAGTAAGCGTTACCCCTACAATGACCTGACTGCCTTCGTTAACGACTGTTCACCCAACAGCCATGCAGTTCGTTGGCATGAAGCAGACACCTCGAACTTGGGTTTCAGACTGTCGACTCCCTACACAAAGATATTTGTGTGCTACTGATGTCCCGTAGCCAAAATACCATCTCACTGTATTACTAAAATTGTGCATGCACACTCAAACGCGCAGTGGTAAAAAAAAAAAGAATTTTTTTTAACACCCACACACATATATACATATACATACAATTATTACCTGCCACCCGCCCGCTTGCCGGTGCAGCACATATCCCTATATATTTATATATTTTTATTTTATAAATATCTCTTTTGAAAATGCTCAGTCCTATCTTTGTCCCACATATTCCGTTTTTATAGTGTGACACTTGCGGGACGTCTCTCAGTTAGTCAGTGTTCTAGGTGGTGATAAATCTCAGTGTCAGGGGGAAAACACCCACTGACCATCGCGTCCGTGGTTCATGTGTCTGTATCATCGGCACATTTCCACTTAAAATATGTTTGAGAATGCTACAAAAATCACATTTGCATGCAATCATAAACATCTAATTGCGTGAAACACTATTTCACTGCACGTCTAACGGAATAAGAATCACAACGATTGTAAAAACATCGCTAGTTCGGACACACTTTGGATAAAAAATCTAAATAGTAAGAGCTAGGAAAAAATAGATCCTCTTAGTCGGTAGTCCAGAAGCTGAGTCATGCCAAGTCAGAACCATATACATTTGTGTATGTCTCCCAGTCCCTCACACACATTCTAACATATGGAAACATATACATTCTTTTGTGTTTCCCAACACTTCACACACATTCTGACATACAGAAACATATACATTCTCTTGTGTTTCCCAACACCTCAGACACATTCTAACATAAACATATACATTCTCTTGTGTCTCCCAGTCGCTCACACACATTCTAACATACATACACATATACATTCTCTTGTATTTCCAACACCTCAGACACATTCTAACATACATAAACATATACATTCTCTTGTGTCTCCAAATAACTCAGACATATTCTAACATACAGAAACATATACATTCTCTTGTGTCTTTCAGTCCCTCACACACATTTTACCATACAGAAGCATATACATTCGCTTGTGTTTCCCAACAACTCAGACACATTCTAACATAAATTTTTTTTTAAATCCAGAAACCATGAGTTGTTAACCCTTTGTTACAATGGATATTTCAAACCTTCGGCCTTAATTCTATGATAAATAACGCAAATCTGGGAGAAATGTGGCTTTTCTGCCTACGTGAACCCGGACCAAAAGGATTTCATCACCCGGTACTGGGGAAGTCAGGTTTAACCAACTACGCTAGTGAGCTGGACTCTAACATACATAAACATATAAATTCTCTTGTTTCTCCCAATACCTCAGACACATTCTAACATACTTAAACATATACATTCTTTTATTCCTCCCTGCCCCTAAACATATTATAGCATACAGAAATATATGGTTTCTCTTTTGTCTACCAGTCCCTCACAAACATTATAACATACAGAAACATATACATTCTTTTGTGTCTTCTAGTCCATCGGACACATTGTAGCATGCAGAAACATATACATTCTCTTGTGTCTTCTAGTCCATCAGACACATTGTAGCATACATAACCATACAGATTAGTTTGGTTTATACAACAGATCAACATCATGACACAAGGGTAGTAGCCCATAAATGCTCAGTTCTACTTATATCTCAAGCCTGCTTCTGAAGATTCTCAGCGCAGTGCATGAACTCCGTAGCATTGGTGAGAATCCTGAAATACTTTGAGTAGATTTTTAACTCAGAATTTTGCCTGGGCAGCCTCTCTTTTCAATTTTCAACTGCTGAGACATTTTTTACGTGCGCAACAATACACACGGGCGTCTGATCTTCCTACCTAGAGATCATTAGAAATTACTAGAAGCCCACGTGAAAAAATCCCAGCCTTCACTGGGGTCTGAACCTGGGACCTCCAGTAATTGAGGCAGACGCCATGCCTCCAGACCATTTAGAACCCTAACTATATTGACTATTTTGTATCTCCTAGTACATCAGACACATTCTAACATACAGAAACATATACAGATATTCTCTTGTTTCTCCCAGTGTCTCAGAGACATTCTAACATACACACATTCTTTTGTCTGCCTCTCTGTTCTCACACATTGATACTACTCAGTCACTGGCAATTGATTACGCATATGTGAGTGTCTGTATGTATGTGTGTTTGAATATATTTGTGTATACTCTGTCATTTATCCTTATAACATTATTAACAAGTGTACATCCTGTCTGTACTTACATAGACACACACATGTGTGTGTGTGTGAAGTGTGTGTGTGTGCATGTGTGCGCGTGTGTGTGTTTGGTGTGCGGTCATGTCTGCTGATAGCTTTGCTAACAAGTGTACATCCTCTACTTACGTAGACGTGCTGTCTCCATCACGTACGTGTTGGACCTGGGTCCCAGTCCTGCTGAGTTGTACACCTGAAATATTCAGTCAACAATTCAACTTAAAAGTTGCTGTAACATACATTAACCATCCACACACCACCATTCATGTACCACCACCCACACACCACCATCCATATGTGATAGGCTGGAAAAGGACAAAGACTACTGTTCAGCAGCCTAACGATCTTGATTTAGTCTGGTTTAAAAAATGACCAAGAGGCCACTGGAACAGCTTTTAGTTTTAGACAGTAAAATGGGGAAAAGTCTGGCCACTGAGTATAAAAAGGCCAATTGACTCAGTATTCGCCTTCTATTTAACTTCTGGACGCACCCTGTGGAGACCTACCCGGCTGTTGTGGCTTTGCACTTAGGGCTGACCAGCATGGGTGTGGGCGACTATAGGGGAAGGCCGGTTGTCTGACTGATTTCCCTGGCTGATCTCACGGTACGTTTCAATTGGTTAGGTGGTGGTAGATTTGATTTCCATTGTATATCATTGCTAGGAGATAGTTTGATGGCAGGTCACTATAAGTGATTTGTTGGCATATTGAAGCTTAACGTACATGTTAAATATGTTTCGGTTTTTGCCATTGTCCAGGTAATCTTGCTGAGCGCATGGTGTCATTACCATAGTTCCTTGTTAGCTGGAGATGATTAGCACTTTAGGTTCTGATTTTGGTCGAGTACATTTGTTGTTAATGTTGTTATTTGTGGACCAAGTTGATTTTATGTTAAGTGGAATAAACAGATGTCAAATGTAGTAATCATAGTTCCAGTTGTTCTTCATTCAGATTAGGACTTGTAGTTAGTGTGCCTAGTTTGGTATTTATTGCTTGGCTGATCTAGACTTTACAAAAAAGATTTCCTGTCAGGGTGAGATACTTTTGATCTTACCCCCGCCTAAACAAACTTTTTCTCTTTTTTTCTTGTTACTGAGGCAGCATAATGTTGGGTTTGGCTCCCACTAACCACGTCATATTGTTAGAACTCTTGGAGTCTGGGAGATTTCAAAGAGTAGATTTCCATAGTATCCTTTATAGGTATCTGTTCTCTCTCCTCGGTTACAAGAGAGCCCCCTCTGCTTTGCTTCTAGTACACATACAGCATCAGCCATACACCACTATCCTTACACCAGTATCAATAAAACCTCTATATACTATTTTCCAGAAACCGCACTGCATACACCACTATCCATTAACCACTATCCATATGCCACCATGCATAAACCACTATCCATACAACAACATCCACACAAAACTATCAACATGACACTATCCATTCAATATTATCCACACAAATGCCTCTATTTTTACCTGTAAATCTATGGAAAACCTTTACCCGTACATTAATTCAAGAAATACATCTGTACAACCCCTCTCAATATCTACCTGTACATCCACAGAACACCTCTGTTTGTTCCTGCTCAACCACAAACAGCTCTATATCTACCTGTACATCCACACAATACCTTTATTATGTACCTTAACAACCACAGAACACCTCTATAGCTACCTGTATATCCATAGAACACTTCTATATCTACATGTACATACACAGAACACTTCAATTTGTACTTGTACATTCCCAGAACACATCTATATTGTAATGATGTTATAAATAGGGATAATGTCAGGGGATGATTGGCATAACTGGGGAAGTCCCTGAGAGCATGTGTTTCACGGAGATATGGTGAAACGACAGGAAAGAGTGTGTCACGTGTGAATGAGGAGATCTGGGGGATTGAGAATCAGGTGGGCATTCGGTGACTGGGCCCCAGAGAGAAAGGATGGAAGATGAAGCTGTGAAGATGAATGGAGAATGACTAGAGCATGTGGATCTGAATCGGCGAGGAATGAATGATCGAGAAGGTCAGCTGTGATGGTACCCTGTTTGATTGTCAAAGCCAGCTGTGAATATGTCAACGTCTATTGTCCGAATGCTGTAAGTGGATTCACCTGTGATTTGTGTATTGAGCTAACGTGTAAATAAACTCGTGAAATGTGCCGCTGGTGTTAACCGTTGTTAGACGTTGTGTGACCATGAAGAGGATCATGTCTGCTTGATTGAGTTGTAACCCTCTAGATATCAGAGCCAGTGTTAACTCTGCACCATAGATAGCCAGTGTAGAGGAGACACAAAAGGGCAGTCATTACATTGGGGACCCGTCCTAAGTGCGAATACATTGTAAGTTATAAATATGAGTTACAGTGCAGGCATGTTATAACTATGCCAGTACATTAGACGTAGTGTTTTTGTGGACAGAAGTAAAATTTAGGCAAACACCGGCAGCCGTAAGTTTTGAGTGACTATGTGTGTTGGAAGATGGAGTTTAAAGAAATGTCGGGGTATTATGTAAGACCAGGACATGCTGTCAAGGGCATTAAGTAAAACCGGGACAATTGAATTCCAGACTCTAGTCATTCTGAAACAAACAAGCTAGCCTGAGAAAAATGGGCAGAAACACGGCGAAGCAATACTGGGTAATGTATTCACTTCACGTGTGAAAAAATTGTACACGTTTCATCCCGCGGGAACGCTTGTTCGTCGCTGGAAGAGACTGTAAGCTGAACTTTTGACCCTTGTGGTGGGTAATCCACGACGGAAAATTGTCAGCAACGGTATCCCTGTGACGGTTGTTTGACGTGGGTTTTGTTCGTCAAACAAGAGGTCAAAAACCAGAGATACTAATTTCGGACTAGATTTCACCGCAAGAACACTGCATTGCCAGGGGCCGAGACGGCACTCAGTTACTGCGAGCAAGGTCATCAACAACGGTCAAGTACAACACAGTAGCAGATAAAACGTCATCAGCGACAGCTAACTCGAGGCAACCGTACAGCACACCAGCCACAAGTGAATGCCTCAGGTTAAGAATACTTGTCAATAAAAAAGAACGGGGTCCAGTCAGTACCAGCAGTAGTACTTGTACTACTAAATGTTTGTAATACGTCCGTATAGGTGAGTTCGTGTGTATTGTGTAGACAAGGAAGGAGTGGTGTTTATCAACATTAATTACGTCACGAAATGTTTACAATTTATAATGGATAGACAGGAAAAACAGTGATTAATGTGATAGACTATGACTATTCAGATTGTAGAGTAGAACTACATACATTCTTTGTAAGAAAAGTATTTCAGTGAGAATCTAACATTTATCAACAGTTTGTGGTGACAATTAGTGAAATTAATATGCGCTAACTGTGAACATTTAGTGATCTGTGCCAACTGATCAACTTCAGGGTATAAAGACTTTTGGACATATTTGAATTATTGAATGAGCATAAACTAATGATAGTCTTTTAAGATCATCTGCAGACTTAGACCACGACAGAAGACAAGAGCAGTGTCCTACAAAGATCAGAAGAGCGTGCCCAGAGACAGTAAAGACGTGCAGTGGAGCATCAAGGGCCACAAACCTAATCCAGTCCATTCCAACAGCAGAAGAGCAAGGGAGCCATCACCAGGACCAAGGAAAAAGAATCAACTCATTACATTGTTTACATGTTTTCTATTTTCTACTTTCAGGTTTTTCGATTGTGATATTCTATTATTCTATTTAAGTAAAATAGATAATATTTTTTTTTATTTTATTAGTTGAGTATAAAAATTAGTTAGGGGATATAATTAAATTTAAACTTTCAGTTATTTATTTCAGGTATAAATTAAATAATACGGGATTTACCCTAAACTTAAACAGGTTCAAAAGTAATAAGTTACAGTAATCAGTTTTAAAATGTCAAACCTAGCAGAATACATAAATCTGGGAAAACAGTTAGGGCTATCAGGAGAGGAATTGAGAAAATTCTGTGAAGGAAGAGAACAGGAAGATAAAGAAGCACAAAGGGTTCAACAACAATTGGATCGTGAAGAAAGGGCCGCAGCACGCGCCCAGGAAGCAGAAGCACGTGCCCACGAGGCAGCAATGAAAGATAAGCTATTACAACAAGAAGCAGAACTGAAAAATAAACAGTTACAACATGAAGCAGCAATGAAACAACAGCAATTAGACCATGAGAAAGAAATCAAATTGCAAGAGTTAAAACTTGAACAACAGCGGTTAGCAGCACAAATAGATGCAGACAGACAAAAGGTTGAGGCACAGATAAGAACAAAAGAAATGGACAATGAATCTAAAGCAGAACTGACAGCACAAAGGGAAAGAGCTAAAGAAGAAGAACATAAATTTACAAAATACAAAGGATTAATAAAGAATTTTGGTGAAAAGGATGACATTGGATCATGGATTTCAGCATTTTTACTACAAGTTCGGTTTCATAAAATTCCAAAAGAAGATTGGGCAATACTGTTCCAAAGACACCTTGGAGGAGAACCGTTAAAAATATTGGAGACAGTGCCAGAAAATTTACGACTTGATTTTGATTATATTAAAGACCGGATAATGAGGCACTATGACCTACAAGAAGCAGGATACAGATTGCAATTTATTGATTTAAAACCAAAATCAACTCAAACATTTGTTGATTATATGTCCGAAGTTCAGACAACTTTTCAGAAATGGGTAGATTCAGCCAAAATTAACGACGACTATGATCTGTTAGTTGATTTACTATTAAGAAGTAAATTGCTAGAATCATTACCAAAACCTATGACCACATTTCTGAAGGAACACAAACCTACTTCGTTAAAACATCTTGAACAACTAGGAGAAAATTATTATGCAGCACATCGTGATATTTTTCTCATACCACAAAACATTGATATATACTCAGGAGCCAGTGCCGAAGGACAAAAGTCACATGAAACAGGATATAATAGATCAGCATATCCGTCCAGAAGAAAATTTAATGGAGGAAGGAAAATAACAATAATAGATTGTGACATATGCAAAAAAAGGCATGGTAATGAAACCATTTGCGACGCCAATCAATTGTATGAACAAGAAGTCAGAAAGAAAATTGAAAACAGGAGGAAAAAGGTAAAGAGATATGATAGTACAAGTAAATGCTGGGCTTGTGGATTTTATGGACACACGCGTCAATTTTGCAAATATAAAAAAGAATTTAAAGCAGCAGCAGTTTGTGAAACATCAGACTCCGAGTCAGGAAGTGATATATCAGAAACAAATGCAGCAGTGATACTAGAAGAAGATAAATGCACAATGTGTGAGAAGTTTCAAGAATATGGAGAATTGAAATGTGGGCATAAGATACCAGCGCACAATGCAAATTCTATAAAGGATTGTGGAAAATTAAATCTATACAAAGGAATTGTTGGGAATCGAATCGTGTCAATTTTGAGGGACACAGGATCGACGATCTCAGGTATTCACAAGTCATTAGTGAAACCAGAGGATATGACTGATAAAGTGGTTAGATGCAGAACATTCGGAGGTAGAATAGAAAAATTCAGAATAGCATCAGTATGGGTCAAAACGCCATATACCACTAAGAAGATGGACATGGCTGTATTAAGTTCACCGTGTGCAGAACTTATCATTGGTAACCAACCAGGGCTGAAAGAGATGACAGATCATGAAATAAAACAGTGGGAGAAAGAAAACATACCTGAGATGACAGAAGAGGTGATGCTAACCACGCAGAGACAAGAGACAAATGCAGTCATGGAAGATAAAAATGACAGTGTAAATCTGCAGGAAATAGAAAATGTAGCAGCAGTCACAAGGAGTGTAACAAAAAATCAACAAACTCAAGTACACTCCGTAAACATGCACAAAGAACAAATACCAGTAACTACAGAAGATAAAAACAGATTTTGTCCAAGTCTATCAACAAACTACAAAAAACAAGTAAACTTAATAATGCAGTGGCTAGTAACATTAATTGTGACAGTGTTAATGTCAAGTGTTAATTGTTGTGTTAAATGTGTTAGGAAAGCTGCAATATTAAAGTATCAGTTATTTACAATGCAATTGAACAGGAAGCCAACAAAATTAAATTGTGATCAGGGAAAAATAATAAAAAATAAGTTTCGAGCAAGAGGCATTAAATATTGCGATCAGTTTAAAAAGAAAAAAAAAATGAAAATGATAGAATTTCCTAAATAGAAAAGAATTTACAGTCATTACAGGTAAAATTGCAAAACATAAATTAGACATTAATACAAAAGTTTAAATTTGATATTAGGCATGTTAAAGGTGTTAAAAACTATATTCCAAATATTATGTCTAGGTTATATAGTAAGCAGAAATAGTCACAAGGGGAGTTAAATAGAAAAGGGAGATAATTATAGGTAACAAGTAAACAGAAATAATAACAAGGGGATTTAAATAGAAAAGGGAGATAATTATAGGTAACAGTCTAACATTACTAACGAATGTTCAATAAACGTGTTGTTACTAACAATTAATATTCAAATAAAATAAATGTTGTATGAAGTGATGATATGAAAGTTATGATGTGAAAGTGATAATGAGGAATGGTGTATGAATTTAAAAATAAAAGTGAAAGATGGTGTATGAGTTTATAAAAAAACCAACAGACACATTAGGTTATAATAGAAATTTTATTAACAGGCAATTACAGATGTTGCATTGAAACATAGAAATTTGGAAATATCTATGATATAGTGTACAAACAGAAAATGAAATTGCCACAATGCTAAAATGAGAAAATTCTGGCAAAGTTTTGGTATAAACCATGGTGAATGACGAAGACCAACAAGGAGTAGCAATCACTTTGAATGAACTGTCAACAGGAACTTGGTTCTATGGGGGACATACAGAACTGTGTGATTTATAAGTCTGGTTTTGGAGCCATTTTTGGACTTCCGCGTTGTTGAGGAACGCTTTGGGGTGTTGTTCAGTCTTCTTTAGGTAGACTGACTTCAGGACTTGATAAGTACGTCACAGAGCCTATAAGGTCATCCGCGTTGTTTGAGGAACGCTTTGGGGAGGTGATTCTGTTAGCATATTGCCAAGAACTGTCAAGGGGAGTGACAAGAGATGCTGCATATGTGGTACAAGTCAGAGAACCGATGGTAGAATTCCAACCAACAGTAAAAATATTAGTAAAAAAAGGCAATATATTCTTATATGGAAATTTATATAGGTTATGGAAAAAAAAAAATATTGCATATTTTTTTTTTTTTTTTTAAGGGGAGGAGAGATGTAATGATGTTATAAATAGGGATAATGTCAGGGGATGATTGGCATAACTGGGGAAGTCCCTGAGAGCATGTGTTTCACGGAGATATGGTGAAACAACAGGAAAGAGTGTGTCACGTGTGAATGAGGAGATCTGGGGGATTGAGAATCAGGTGGGCATTCGGTGACTGGGCCCCAGAGAGAAAGGATGGAAGATGAAGCTGTGAAGATGAATGGAGAATGACTAGAGCATGTGGATCTGAATCGGCGAGGAATGAATGATCGAGAAGGTCAGCTGTGATGGTACCCTGTTTGATTGTCAAAGCCAGCTGTGAATATGTCAACGTCTATTGTCCGAATGCTGTAAGTGGATTCACCTGTGATTTGTGTATTGAGCTAACGTGTAAATAAACTCGTGAAATGTGCCGCTGGTGTTAACCGTTGTTAGACGTTGTGTGACCATGAAGAGGATCATGTCTGCTTGATTGAGTTGTAACCCTCTAGATATCAGAGCCAGTGTTAACTCTGCACCATAGATAGCCAGTGTAGAGGAGACACAAAAGGGCAGTCATTACATATATCTACCTTTACATCCACAGAACACCTCTGTTTGTTCCTGCACATCAATAGAAGACCTTTATATGTACCTGTACATCACTAAAACACCTCTATATGTTCCTGTACGACCACAGAACACCTCTATACCTACACGTACAACCCCTTTCTATCTATCTGCACAACCCATTTCTATCTAACTGTACAACACCACTCTAACTGTACAACCCTTCTATATCTACCTGTAGAGCACTAAAACACCTCTATATGATCCTGTACAACCACAGAACACCTCTATACCTACATGTACAACCCCTCTCTATCTGCACAACCCCTCTCTATCTATCTGTACAACCCCTGTCTATCTAACTGTACAACACCGCTCTATCTAGCTTTACAACACCACTCTATCTAACTGTACAACACCACTCTATCTAACTGTACAACCCCTCTATATCTACATGTACAACGCCTCTCTATCTAACTGTACAACACCCCTATATCTAACTGTACAACCCCTCTCTATCTAACTGTACAACCCCTCTCTATCTAACATTACAACACCACTCTATATAACTGTACAACACCTCTCTATCTAACATTACAACACCACTCTATCTAACTGTACAACCCCTCTCTATCTAACATTACAACACCCCTATATCTAACCGTACAACCCCTCTCTATCTAACATTACAACACCACTCTATATAACTGTACAACACCTCTCTATCTAACATTACAACACCACTCTATATAACTGTACAACCCCTCTCTATCTAACATTACAACACCACTCTATATAACTGTACAACACCTCTATAGCTACATGTACAACACCTCTATATCTAACTTTATTAACACAACTCTATCTAACTGTACAACACCTCTCTATCTAACTGTACTACACAACTCTAACTGTACAACCCCTCTCTATCTAACTGTACAACCCCTCTATATCTACATGTACAATCCCTCTATATCTAACTGTACACCACTCTATATAACTATACAACACCTCTATATCTACATGTACAACACCTCTATATCTACCTGTACAATCCCTCTCTATCTAACTGTACAACCCCTGTCTATCTAACTGTACAACGCCACTCTACCTAACTGTACAACACAACTCTATCTAACTGTACAACACCTCTATATCTACATGTACAACACTATATCTACCTGTACATCCACAATTGTGTTGACCTGAGATTCCAGTCCTATAACCAGTCCACTATCAACATTTCCGTAGTAACGTATTGATCGAGTAAACAGATTGGGGTCATCTTCTTCATCCCAGTAGTTGATCTGCAGACAAACAAATTGTAGCGTCACGGCAGGCCAACAGTGCAGCTGTACTGCAGACAATCAAGCATAAAAATACTATTTCCACTTCTGACATTCTAGCACATGTACAACACAAGATGAGGTTTACCTTAAGGCAATCTTGTACATATACAACATAAGATGAGGCTCAGCTTAAGGTTTCAACTTAAGGTGTCAAGAATTGACATCACAGAACTAGGGGCATTCCCATGCATGCTCCATCCTCATGTTCAGTGTAGGGTTCCAATACTGATGGCACTGGTCACAATCTGGTTATATGTCCATCTTGCCTTTCCACTGAGTGTAGTAAGCCCACCAGACCCTCTGGTTACCCTCGGTTGCCTCATTCTCTCCAGGCCATAATAATCTTTTTTCTCTACTGATTCTGTTGCTTGTTCCCAAAAGGCCTTGACCACATCTTCCTTGTCATGTATCAATACAAGATGAATTTTAATGAAGAAAATTTAGCACACATAAAATATAAAATGAGCCTCAGGTTGAGGCAATCTAGATAACATACAACACAAGATGAATTTTAAATGAAGACAATCAAGCACACATAAAACACAAGATGAGTCTTACTTTAAGACAATCTAGCACACATACAACACAAGATGAGCCTCAGTTTAAGGCTGTCTAGCACACATACAACACAAGATGAGCCTCAGTTTAAGGCAATCTAGCACATATACAACATAGGATGAGTCTCAGTTTAAGGCAATCTAACACACACACAACACAATATGAGTCTAAGTTTAAATCAATCCAGCACATATACAACACAAGATGAGTCTCAGTTTAAGGCAGTCTAGCATATAAACAACACAGGATGAGCCTCAGTTTAAGGCAGTCTAGCACATATACAACACAGGATGAGTCTCCGTTTAAGGCAATCTAGCACACATACAACAGAAGATGAGCCTCAGTTTAAAGCAATCTAGCACATATACAACACAAGATAAGTCTCAGTTTAAGGCAATCTAGCACACATACAGCCCAAGATCAGCCTCACTTTAAGGCAATCTAGCACATATACAACATAAGATGAGTCTCATTTTAAGGCAATCTAGCACACATACAACACAAGATGAGTCTCACTTCAAGGCAATCTAGCACACATACAACACAAGATGAGTCTCAGTTTAGGGCAATCTAGCACACATACAACACAGGGTGAGTCTCAGATTAAGGCAATCTGGCACATATACAACACAAGATGAGTCTTAGTTTAAGGCAATCTAGCACATATACAACACAAGATCAGTCTCACTTTAAGGCAATCTAGCACATATACAACATAAGATGAGTCTCAGTTTAAGGCAATCTAGCACACATACAACACAAGATCAGTCTCACTTCAAGGCAATCTAGCACATATACAACACAAGATGAGTCTCAGTTTAAGGCAATCTAGCACACATACAACACAAGATGAGTCTCATTTTAAGGCAATCTAGCACACATACAACACAAGATGAGTCTCATTTTAAGACAATCTAGCACACATACAACACAAGATGAGTCTCAGTTTAAGGCAATTTAGCACACATACAACACAAGATGAGTCTCAGTTTAGGGCAATCTAGCACACATACAACACAAGATGAGTCTCAGTTTAAGACAATCTAGCACATACAACACAAGATGAGTCTCAATTTAAGGCAATCTAGCACACATGCAACACAAGATGAGTCTCAGTTTAAGGCAATCTAGCACACATACAAGATGAGTCTCAGTTTAAGACAATCTAGCACACATACAACACAAGATGAGTCTCAGTTTAAGGCAATCTAGTACATATACAACACAAGATGAGTCTCAGTTTAAGGCAATCTAGCATACATACAACACAAGATGAGCCTCAACTATACTTTCATGAGGGATGAAAAAAGGGAGGTCGTCATCACTTGTATGATGGACGAACAAGTGTAAACATACTCTGTATATCTATTTTAAGTATCAATTTTATATAGCTTGTCTGTGTATTAACACTAGAAGTATCAACTTTATGTATTTTTTCCATCAACTTATCTATCTACTCAATGTACTGTCCTCTATCTATCAGACAGATGGTATCTCTGTTTACTCTATGTGCTGTCATGTATCTATTAGATGGTCAGAGATACAAACTCTGTTTATCTACTATATGTACTGTCCTGCATCTATCAGACATTCAAAGATACCAACTCTATCTACAACGTGTACTGATTTGTATCTATCAGACAGTCAGAGATACCAACACTTTATCTACCCTGTGTACTGTCCCATCTCTATCAGACAGTCAGAGATACCAACACTGTTGATCTACCCTGTTTACTGTCCTGTATCTATCACACAGTCAGAGATACTAACAGTCTATCCAGTCTATGCACTGTCCTTTATATATCAGACAGTTAGGAATACCAAGTCCATCTATCTACACTATGTGCTGTCATGCATTTATCAGAGGGCCAGATATACTAACTCTGTCTATCTACTCCATGTACTGTCCTCTGTCTATCAGACAGAGGTACCAACTCTATCTTTCTACTCCATGGACTGTCCTTTATCTATCATACAGTTGGAAATACCAAATCCATCTATCTAGTCTATGTACTGTCCTGTATCTATCAATCAGTTAGAGATACTAACTCTACTCATGTACTGTCCTGTATCTATCAGACAGAGGTACCAACTCTATCTTTCTACTCCATGTACTGTCCTATGTATATCAGACAGAGATACCAACCACATAGCCCAGAATCTTTCCCCTGGCATGGACTCTATCGTCTGGCACTGGTTTCCAGTTGACTGTGATACAAGAACTGTTGAATGTGAATGTGTTCACATTCTCTGGCACACCAATGGGCACTGAGGAACATTGAAATAACAGATCAACAATGAACTCTGTAAGACAGTAGTGTTTCAAATTGAGTAATTCTAATGGATAATGTTGTTTCATTATATAATAAAGGGATTACAGAAGGACATCCATGATTTTGAAGGGAAAAAAAAGACAATGCAGAAGATATTTGTCAGTCAGAACTAGAGATAGAAATACACTACAAAGAAAAGCTTCCAACCTTCTGTCTTTGCTCGTCCCCTCCCCCTCCCCCTGATTATGATTCTAGTATAGACAAAGACCCAAGTTAAACAACAAATTATGATTTTAGTATATAAAAGACCCTAAGTTATCCAACAAATGATGATTCTAGTATGGGCAAAGACCTCAAGTACTTTATAAAAAAAAATTATGATTTAAGTATGGACAAAGACCCCAAGTTGTACTAGTTATACAGCAAATAATGATTCTAATATGGACAAAGACCCCAAGTTGGACAAGTTAAACAACAAATGATGATTCAAGTATGGACAAAGACCCCAAGTTGTACAAAGTATACAACAAATGATGATTCAAATATAGCCAAAGACCCCAAGTTGTACAAGGTATACAACAAATGATGATTCAAGAATGGACAAAGGCCCTATGCTATAAAACAAATGATGATTCTAGTATGGACAAAGACCCTAAGTTATACAACAAATTATGATTAAAGTATGATCAAACAGTTATGCGACTAATGATGATTCAAGCATGACAAACAGCTGTACAGTACAATAAATGATGACTCTAGTATGAATAAAGGCTGAAAGATAAACAACAAATGATGATCCTAGTAAGGTCAAAGACCTCAAGGTATAAGACAAATGAGGATTCTAGTATGGAAAAGACCCCAAGTTGTACAAAAAATGATGATTCAAAAACTGAAAAAGGAAAAAGGCCCCATGTTATAAAACAAATGATGATTCTAGTAGTGATAAAGAACCCTATTTATACAACAAATGATGATTCAAGTATGACCAAACAGTTATGCAACAAATGATAATTCTAGTGTGGAAAAAGACCCCAAGTTATACAAGGTAGACAACAAATGATGATTCAAGTATAAAAAAACACATATAAAATAAATACAGATTTTAGTATGGATAAAGACCCCAAGTTATACAACAAATGATGATTCAAGTATGGATAAAGACCCCGTTATACAACAAAGGATGTTTCTAGTGTGAACAAAGACCCCAAGTTATACAACAAATGATGCTTCTAGTGTGGACAAACACCCCAAGTTATACAAAGTATACAACTAATCATGATTTAAGTATGGGCAAACAGTTATACAACAAATGAGGATTTTAGTATGGATAAAACTCCCAAATTATACAACAAATGATATTTCTAGTGTGGACAAAGACTCCAGTGTATACAACCAATGATGATTTAAGTGTGGTAACAAGAAAAAACTCAAGTTATAAAATAAATAATAATTGATGCCTGGACACATGAAAGAACTCAGGTTACACAACAAATGATTATCGAAGTGTTTTCACAAGAAAGAACTCAGATTCTACAAGTGATGACTAAAGTGTTGACACAAGAAATAACTTAGATTATACAAGTGATTATTGAAGTGTTTACACAAAAAAGAACTCTAATTATACAAGTGATGACTTAAGTGTTGACACATTAAAGAACTTGGATTATACAAGTGACTTTTGAAGTGTCTACACAAGAAAGAACTCAGATTATACAACAAGTGATGACTGAAATGTTGACACAAAAAAAGAATGGATTATACAAGTGACTTTTGAAGTGTCTACACAAGAAAGAACTCAGATTATACAAGTGATTAAAATGTTGACACACTAAAGAACTTACAATTCTCAGCAGAGTAAATCTCCACCACGGAAGAGTTGGGTCCAGGACCCTCAGAGTTGACCGCCTGGACTTTGGTCTCATACGGGAGGTAGTAGTACTCTGCTCCCACCTGGGTCACGGCGTACTCCTGTCTGTCATTGTTGATGGTAATCTGTCCATTTCAGAATATTTTGTTATGTGTATTTTTGTTTCCATGTTTCATTATGTGTATTTGTGTCCATGTTTTATTATGAGTGTCTACTACACAATGTCATTTCTGCTACACACTGTCATGTCTACTACATACTGTCATGTCTACTAAACTCTTGTGGCTACTACACACTGTCATGTCTGCTACACACTGTCATGTCTACTACATACTGTCATGTCTACTAAACTCTTGTGGCTACTACACACTGTCATGTCTGCTACACACTGTCATGTCTACTACACACTGTCATGTCTGCTACACACTGTCATGTCTGCTACATACTGTCATGTCTACTACACATTGTCATGTCTACTACACACTGTCATGTCTACTACACATTGTCATGTCTACTACACATTGTCATGTCTACTACACACTGTCATGTCTACTACACACTGTCATGTCTACTACACACTGTCATGTCTACTACACACTGTCATGTCTACTACACACTGTCATGTCTACTACACACTGTCATGTCTACTACATGTTGTCATGTCTACTACATACTGTCATGTCTACTACACACTGTCATGTCTACTACATGTTGTCATGTCTACTACACACTGTCATGTCTACTACACACTGTCATGTCTACTACATGTTGTCATGTCTACTACACACTGTCATGTCTACTACACACTGTCATGTCTACTACACGTTGTCATGTCTACTACATACTGTCATGTCTACTACATACTGTCATGTCTACTACGTACTGTCATGTCTACTACACACTGTCATGTCTACTACACACTGTCATGTCTACTACACACTGTCATGTCTACTACATGTTGTCATGTCTACTACACACTGTCATGTCTACTACACACTGTCATGTCTACTACATGTTGTCATGTCTACTACATACTGTCATGTCTACTACACACTGTACTACACATTGTCATGTCTACTACACACTGTCATGTCTAATACACACTGTCATGTCTACTACACACTGTCATGTCTACTACACACTGTCATGTCTACTACACATTGTCATGTCTACTACACACTGTCATGTCTACTACACACTGTCATGTCTACTACACATTGTCATGTCTACTACACACTGTCATGTCTACTACACACTGTCATGTCTTCTACACACTGTCATGTCTACTACCAACCACCATGTCTACTATACACTGTTATTTCTACTACACACTGTCATTTGTACTATACCCTGTTAGGTCTACTATACATTGTCACACACTGTCATGCCTACTACACACTTTCATGTCTGCTATACACTGTCATGTCTACTACACATTGTTATATCAACTACACACTGTCATATCTGTTAAACACTGTACTACACACTGTCATGTCTACTACACACTGTCTACTAAATACTGTCATGTCTACATGATGACATTTCTACACAATCTTGTGTGTATTTGTAATGCCCACAAAATGGAGGAAAAAGATTGTGTGAGTGAAATCACGGCTGCGTTTAGGCAAGCAAAAAACAGTGCACCGGGTCCACATGGCATCTGCTATAAAGATATTTCTTAGCTGTCTGAAGTTGGAGGGACTGGCAAGTATCTGAAACAGCAGTATTGAAAGTACAACAATCGATGAAGATTGGCTGTGTAGTTATCTGATACCTTTGCCATAGCCTGGTAAAGACCACACAACAATACATGGCTACCGTGTAATCACAATGCAGAATACAATTGGAAAGCTGTTGGAAAAATTAGTTGCAAAGAAAATATCCCGCCATCTTGAGCAGCCCAGCATGGGAGGATATAGCTCAAACAGAGAGTCCTAAGAGAATGCAGCCATCTTTGCATGTGATGTTTATGAGGGATTCCACTCAGGGATGGAAACTTGTGCTGCTGCAATTGATTGTGAGGATGCGTACAACAATGTAACATTTGACTTCTTGATTGGTCAGCTTATTGATGTCAGTCTCAGCCTGTTACTCATGAACTGGATCCCATGAGCTCTCTTTAAGCAGAAGGTGGTGTTTAAAAGTGGTAGTTTGGCATCTGAACCAATAACAACACACCCCGGTCAGCCACAAGGTTCGCCTTTATCCCCAGTACTTTGCAACATTTTCATCATGAGAATCACAGGTGAGCAGATCATGTGACCGGGAAGGAATCTGTCCTAAGCTGATCTTCTGGTAATCTGGTAATCTTAGTTTCAGCTTCATAGCAAACGGGTCACCCCATAGTTGCTCCGCTCCTGTGCCAACAAAAAAACATACACAATTTTTATCACAGTTCAAATGAAATCACAGTGTCATGCCATGCACTCAGCTCAGAAGCTGGGCAATGAAACTATATCCTTCCAGTCTACAAATGGAGCAAAAATGCAAGGTCACCATCTGGCAGAAGCAAAAACATTTGCCACGGCTAAAAAAAAGTGGCCCTGCGTAGCGTCCTTTTTGACCTAAAGCATTATGTGCGGGTTAATAAACGGTCACCCCAGCAGTACCCTCACTATTAGCTGGGGAAGGGACTTAGGACATTACATCCACCAGAAAGCGTCGCCCCTACAACGACCTGACTGCCTTCGTTAACTACTGTTCACCCAATAGCCATGCAGTTCTTTGGCATGAAGGAGACACCTTGACTGCGGACTCCCTACAAGATGATATGTTTTTTTCTGTTTTCACAATCGACGTCACAGCAGATTTGGCAGATTTGGCATTCCCATGCATGCTCATTCCTCTGATGCAGCAGCCACTCCAAAGTACTTCTACTAATTGTTCCTATGAGAAGCTGGTTATATGTTGTTTTGGTGCACCGTCAAGGTAGAGACTGGCAGCAGGCTGTAGAGGGCCTTTTGACAAAACTTGACCACATAAGCAGATGGTGCGATGAAGCGGGAATGGTCATCAACCTGTCAGAGTCATTTTTACTTAATAACCATTTTATAAATACACCGACAAAAACTGTAAGACTGTTCAGAGATCAGTTAGAGAACTCGTTCAATTATTTAGGAGTGTGTTTTGATCATAGTCTTGCTTTTTTTAATGAGCATGTCAACCGTGTGATAATGAAGACAAAGGGAGATTTTAAGGAGCTAAGGATTATAGCTGCGACAAACTGTAAGCTAGGTCACCTATTTTTCTTATACCAGGGTCGGATCATTTCTGTATTTGAGTACGTTCTAGTGATTCTGACTCTTTGATGTACACAGATAATGAGACTATATTGGATGCAGAATAAAGCCGTGCTAATCATACTTGGATGCACAAAAATGCAGCATGCAGAGCAATGGGTTACCTCCTTCATCTTCCCACCGTGGAAGTAAGAACAGTGATTTGCCGATCGCAGGCATATCTGTGTATCAGTGCTGGTACACACCATCCACTGCACACTGAGATTCGTAGAAAGAAGGGTAGCAGGTTAAAAAGAGGAAAATCCTGGGTGGGTCAGGCTGAGGACATTATTCAACAAGTTTGTTAAAGTGAGAACATAGAACTTGGCCAGGAATGGGTACAAGTGCCAATAGAGAGGGATACATCCTTCTCAGTCAGTATACAACTGGAAAGAGACTGCAGACAACGAGTCTTGTTGGTGGTTGAGGCAGAAGTTCAAGTCTTCATTTTTTTAAATCCTGCTATTGAAAGTGCAGTTATTTACACTGATTGATCTGTCCTTTGACATGTACAAAGTTCATGGGCTTTCATGATTCTTGTTCAAGGGAAAACTGTAAAAGAAGATAGTGGTGCTTTTTTCCTCAACTACAAGAAGTCTGTCTATGGAGGTGATGGTGGTAACAAAAGCAATGATGTGGCTAGAGACACAGCATTTTTTCCATGTCCTTGCTAAATGATTCCATGAGCATGTTCAAGAAGATAGAGACAGGGCAGATTCGAAGAAAATAGTTGGAGTCATGAAAGAAATCTAATTTGAAAGGAATTGAAACGGGAGGTACGGGAAAAGCAATAAACCAGGCCAACATTCTCAATGCTCTCATGGAGCAGAACAAGAAGATGATTCAAGAGACAATGCTGAATCGGCAACACTCAAAAGACTAGAAGAACTTCAGGTTAAAAGAGGGGTTGCCAAACATGAAAACTTTACAGGTAGCCAAAGAAGAACAGTAAACCAACACAGAACTGGTGTTATCAGTCGCCACACGCTGAGGAATATTCTGAAGATGGGATTTGAACACTCATGGACTTGCCCAATGAGCAAGGGGGATAATCTTTCCATTAACTAACTAAATATTTCTACAGACTATCAGCCTATAAGGGAGTCACCATGGAAGAGCGGCTAGACGCTTGTCACGGATCGGAAAGTGGTGGGTTCGCTCCCTGGTGGAGCCGGACTTTGTTAAAAAATGACCTTGGCTCCCAGGTCGACCCAGCCTTGAGTGGGTACCGGGTGCAGTCTTGGGAAAGTAAAGGCGGCCGGCGTGATGCTGACCACATCACCCATCTTGTGCCGATTGGTCTATAAAAATATAGGTCTAGCCCTAAATGCCCTATATGCCTAAAGGCATGGAAAAGGGTCCTTATAAGCCTATAATTTGTATGTTTATTAAAATATGTAACAGTTAGAGCAGAAAAACTGACCAGGTTCCAGACGGCATCTTTCACAGTCTCATCCTTCCTCCTCCAGTAAACTTTGTAATAGATAGTTCCGTTGGCAACACCGTACTGAGATCTCTTCAGGGCCTGTAGGTTGGGACAGTCAAATATGAGAATGCAGGAACTTGTAAGTTGTGAGATGTTCAAACATACATAGTCAACATGGATGCAGTGTATCACTAGCTGGGCTACTGCTGCTTTGCATTTTCAACAGTAGATGTTTTATAGAGCAGACAGCAAACATTTTATAGAGCAGACAGCAGATGTTTTATAGAGCAGACAGTAGATGTTTTATAGAGCAGACAGCAGATTTTTTATAGAGCAGACAGTAGATGTTTTATAGAGCAGACAGTAGATGTTTTATAGAGCAGACAGCAGATGTTTTATAGAACAGACAGTAGATGTTTTATAGAGCAGACAGCAGATATTTTATAGAGCAGACAGTAGATGTTTTATAAAGCAGACAGCAGATGTTTTATAGAGCAGACAGTAGATGTTTTATAGAGCAGACAGTAGATGTTTTATAGAGCAGACAGTAGATGTTTTATAGAACAGATAGCAATTGTTTTATAGAGCAGTCAGCAGATGTTTTATAGAGCAGACAGCAGATGTTTTATAGAGCAGACAGCAGATATTTTATAGAGCAGACAGTAGATGTTTTATAGAACAGATAGCAATTGTTTTATAGAGCAGACAGCAGATGTTTTATAGAGCAGACAGCAGTTATTTTATAGAGCAGACAGCAGATGTTTTATAGAGCAGACAGCAGTTGCATCAGAAGAAGAGGAACATGAATAGAAAGAAAAAATAGGGGGAGGAGGAAGAATTGAAAAGCTGATGGGGAAAGAAAAGAATTGACACAGTGATTGATGTTGCTGACAGGAAAGAGGAGAACTGACACAGTGATAGATGTTGCTGACAGGAAAGAGGAGAACTGACACAGTGATAGATGTTGCTGACAGGAAAGAGGAGAACTGACACAGTGATAGATGTTGCTGACAGGAAAGAGGAGAATTGACACAGTGATAGATGTTGCTGACAGGGAAGAGGAGAACTGACACAGTGATAGATGTTACTGAAAGGAAAGAGGAGAACTGACACAGTGATAGATGTTGCTGACAGGGAAGAGGAGAACTGACACGGTGATAGATGTTGCTGACAGGGAAGAGGAGAATTGACACAGTAATAGATGTTGCTGACTGGGAAGAGGAGAACTGACACAGTGATAGATATTGCTGACAGGAAAAAATGAGAACTGACACAATTATAGATGTTGCTGACAGGGAAGAGGAGAACTGACACAGTGATAGATGTTGCTGACAGGAAAGAGGAGAACTGACACAGTGATAGATGTTGCTGACAGGGAAGAGGAGAACTGACACGGTGATAGATGTTGCTGACAGGGAAGAGGAGAATTGACACAGTAATAGATGTTGCTGACTGGGAAGAGGAGAACTGACACAGTGATAGATATTGCTGACAGGAAAAAATGAGAACTGACACAATTATAGATGTTGCTGACAGGGAAAAGGAGAACTGACACAGTGATAGATGTTGCTGACAGGAAAAAATGAGAACTGACACAATTGTAGATGTTGCTGACAGGGAAGAGGAGAATTGACACAGTCATAGATGTTGCTGACAGGAAAGAGGAGAACTGACACAGTGACAGATGTTGCTGACAGGAAAGAGGAGAACTGACACAGTGATAGATGTTGCTGACTGGGAAGAGGAGAATTGACACAGTGATAGATGTTGCTGACAGGAAAAAATGAGAACTGACACAATTATAGATGTTGCTGACAGGGAAGAGGAGAACTGACACAGTGATAGATGTTGCTGACAGGGAAGAGGAGAATTGACACAGTAATAGATGTTGCTGACAGGGAAGAGGAGAATTGACACAGCGATAGATGTTGCTGACAGGAAAGAGGAGAACTGACACAGTGAATGATGTTGCTGACAGGGAAGAGGAGAACTGACACAGTGAAAGATGTTGCTGACAGGAAAGAGGAGAACTGACACAGTGATAGATGTTGCTGACATGGAAGAGGAGAATTGACACAGCGATAGATGTTGCTGACAGGAAAGAGGAGAATTGACACAGTGATAGATGTTGCTGACAGGGAAGAGGAGAACTGACACAGTGATTGATGTTGCTGACAGGGAAGAGGAGAATTGACACAGCGATAAATGTTGCTGACAGGGAAGAGGAGAACTGACACAGTGATAGACGTTGCTGACAGGGAAGAGGAGAACTGACACAGTGATAGATGTTGCTGACAGGAAAGAGGAGAACTGACACAGTGAAAGATGTTGCTGACAGGGAAGAGGAGAACTGACACAGTGATAGATGTTGCTGACAGGGAAGAGGAGAACTGACACAGTGATAGATGTTGCTGACAGGGAAGAGGAGAACTGACACAGTCATAGATGTTGCTGACAGGAAAGAGGAGAACTGACACAGTGATAGATGTTGCTGACAGGAAAGAAGAGAACTGACACAGTGATAGATGTTGCGGACAGGGAAGACGAGAATTGACACAGTCATAGATGTTGCTGACAGGGAAGAGGAGAATTGACACAGTGATAGATGTTGCTGACAGGGAAGAAGAGAACTGACACAGCGATAGATGTTGCTGACAGGGAAGAGGAGAACTGACACAGTGTTAGTTGCTGACATGGAAAAATGAGAACTGACCCAGTAATAGATCTTGCTGATGGGCAAAAAAGAGAACTAGTCAAACAATGTTGAGAACATTCGAAAAAACAGTTGTATGTCATTGACAGAGATGTGTCATAGAGATGATGTGTGTCACTGACAGAGGAGATGATACTTGTCACTGATAGAGATAATGTGTATCACTCACACAGAAGATAATTATGTCACTGACAGAGGAGATGTGTTTCAGTAACAAAGCTGATGATGGATGACAACGACACGGCTGACAGTACTCCTAAATTGATAATGATCAATGCAATCAATAGACACATCTGATTCTGTTGGAGATCCCACAGAATGATGACAATGTTAAAATGCTGGACCCACCTCCCATCTGATGGTCAGGTCTCCCACAGATCCTCCTCCACCCCGGACATGGTTTGGGTAGACACGAGGTGGAGCACTCAAAGTTTGCACCATTGACGATGGATCACTCGGCGTTCCCAGGCCATATTCATTTTGAGCTGTTTACCAGAAATATTTTACACAGTGAAAAGACAATCCTTGACAGTTACAACAGAAGTTTACAAAACAGAAGACTCTATGTTGTAAGTGATAGTATAATTGCCTAACTGTTCCTATGGTAAGTTTCAGTTAGACAACTCGGTGTCTGACTGTTTCCATGGTAAGTACCAGTTGTCTGTCTCAGTGACTGACTGTTCACATGGTCAGTATCAGTTGTCTGTCTCAGTGACTGACTGTTCACATGGTCAGTATCAGTTGTCTGTCTCAGTGACTGACTGTTCACATGGTCAGTATCAGTTGTCTGTCTCAGTGACTGACTGTTCACATGGTCAGTATCAGTTGTCTATCTCAGTGTCTGACTGTTCACATGGCAAGTGTCAATTGTCTGTCTTAGTGTCTGACTGTTCACATGGTAAGTGTCAATTGTCTGTCTTAGTGTCTGACTGTTCACATGGTCAGTATCAATTGTCTGTCTTAGTGTCTGACTGTTCACATGGTCAGTATCAGTTGTCTATCTCAGTGTCTGACTGTTCACATGGTGAGTGTCAGTTGTCTGTCTCAGTGTCTGACTGTTCACATGGTAAGTGTCAATTGTCTGTCTCAGTGTCTGACTGTTCACATGGTAAGAATCAGTTGTCTGTCTCAGTGTCTGACAGTTCACATGGTAAGTATCAGTTGTCTGTCTCAGTGTCTGACAGTTCACATGGTCAGTATCAGTTGTCTGTCTCAGTGTCTGACTGTTCACATGGTAAGTGTCAATTGTCTGTCTTAGTGTCTGACTGTTCACATGGTAAGTGTCAATTGTCTGTCTTAGTGACTGACTGTTCACATGGTCAGTATCAGTTGTCTGTCTTAGTGTCTGACTGTTCACATGGTAAGTGTCAATTGTCTGTCTTAGTGACTGACTGTTCACATGGTCAGTATCAGTTGTCTGTCTCAGTGTCTGACTGTTCACATGGTAAGAATCAGTTGTCTGTCTCAGTGTCTGACTGTTCACATGGTCAGTATCAGTTGTCTGTCTTAGTGTCTGACTGTTCACATGGTCAGTATCAGTTGTCTGTCTTAGTGTCTGACTGTTCACATGGTAAGAATAAGTTGTCTGTCTCAGTGTCTGACTGTTCACATGGTCAGTATCAGTTGTCTGTCTCAGTGTCTGACTGTTCACATGGTCAGTATCAGTTGTCTGTCTTAGTGTCTGACTGTTCACATGGTCAGTATCAGTTGTCTGTCTTAGTGACTGACTGTTCACATGGTAAGTGTCAATTGTCTGTCTTAGTGTCTGACTGTTCACATGGTCAATATCAGTTGTCTGTCTTAGTGTCTGACTGTTCACATGGTAAGTGTCAATTGTCTGTCTTAGTGTCTGACTGTTCACATGGTAAGTGTCAATTGTCTGTCTTAGTGACTGACTGTTCACATGGTCAGTATCAGTTGTCTGTCTTAGTGTCTGACTGTTCACATGGTCAGTATCAATTGTCTGTCTTAGTGTCTGACTGTTCACATGGTCAGTATCAATTGTCTGTCTTAGTGTCTGACTGTTCACATGGTCAGTATCAGTTGTCTGTCTTAGTGTCTGACTGTTCACATGGTAAGTATCAGTTGTCTGTCTTAGTGTCTGACTGTTCACATGGTCAGTGTCAGTTGTCTGTCTTAGTGTCTGACTGTTCACATGGTCAGTATCAAGTGTCTGTCTTAGTGTCTGACTGTTCACATGGTCAGTATCAATTGTCTGTCTTAGTGTCTGACTGTTCACATGGTCAGTATCAATTGTCTGTCTTAGTGTCTGACTGTTCACATGGTCAGTATCAAGTGTCTGTCTTAGTGTCTGACTGTTCACATGGTCAGTATCAGTTGTCTGTCTTAGTGTCTGACTGTTCACATGGTCAGTATCAGTTGTCTGTCTTAGTGTCTGACTGTTCACATGGTCAGTATCAATTGTCTGTCTTAGTGTCTGACTGTTCACATGGTCAGTATCAATTGTCTGTCTCAGTGTCTGACTGTTCACATGGTCAGTATCAGTTGTCTGTCTTAGTGTCTGACTGTTCACATGGTCAGTATCAGTTGTCTGTCTTAGTGTCTGACTGTTCACATGGTCAGTATCAGTTGTCTGTCTTAGTGTCTGACTGTTCACATGGTCAGTATCAATTGTCTGTCTTAGTGTCTGACTGTTCACATGGTCAGTATCAATTGTCTGTCTTAGTGTCTGACTGTTCACATGGTCAGTATCAATTGTCTGTCTTAGTGTCTGACTGTTCAAATGGTCAGTATCAATTGTCTGTCTTAGTGTCTGACTGTTCACATGGTCAGTATCAGTTGTCTGTCTTAGTGTCTGACTGTTCACATGGTCAGTATCAGTTGTCTGTCTTAGTGTCTGACTGTTCACATGGTAAGTGTCAATTGTCTGTCTTAGTGACTGACTGTTCACATGGTCAGTATCAGTTGTCTGTCTTAGTGACTGACTGTTCACATGGTAAGTGTCAATTGTCTGTCTTAGTGTCTGACTGTTCACATGGTCAGTATCAGTTGTCTGTCTCAGTGTCTGACTGTTCACATGGTAAGTGTCAATTGTCTGTCTTAGTGTCTGACTGTTCACATGGTCAGTATCAGTTGTCTGTCTTAGTGTCTGACTGTTCACATGGTAAGTGTCAATTGTCTGTCTTAGTGTCTGACTGTTCACATGGTCAGTATCAATTGTCTGTCTTAGTGACTGACTGTTCACATGGTAAGTGTCAATTGTCTGTCTTAGTATCTGACTGTTCACATGGTAAGTGTCAATTGTCTGTCTTAGTGTCTGACTGTTCACATGGTCAGTATCAGTTGTCTGTCTTAGTGTCTGACTGTTCACATGGTAAGTGTCAATTGTCTGTCTTAGTGTCTGACTGTTCACATGGTCAGTATCAGTTGTCTGTCTTAGTGACTCACTGTTCACATGGTAAGTGTCAATTGTCTGTCTTAGTGTCTGACTGTTCACATGGTAAGTGTCAATTGTCTGTCTTAGTGTCTGACTGTTCACATGGTCAGTATCAGTTGTCTGTCTTAGTGACTGACTGTTCACATGGTAAGTGTCAATTGTCTGTCTTAGTGTCTGACTGTTCACATGGTAAGTGTCAATTGTCTGTCTTAGTGTCTGACTGTTCACATGGTCAGTATCAGTTGTCTGTCTTAGTGTCTGACTGTTCACATGGTCAGTATCAGTTGTCTGTCTTAGTGACTGACTGTTCACATGGTAAGTGTCAATTGTCTGTCTTAGTGTCTGACTGTTCACATGGTAAGTGTCAATTGTCTGTCTTAGTGACTGACTGTTCACATGGTCAGTATCAGTTGTCTGTCTTAGTGTCTGACTGTTCACATGGTCAGTATCAGTTGTCTGTCTTAGTGTCTGACTGTTCACATGGTCAGTATCAGTTGTCTGTCTTAGTGACTGACTGTTCACATGGTCAGTATCAGTTGTCTGTCTTAGTGTCTGACTGTTCACATGGTCAGTATCAGTTGTCTGTCTTAGTGTCTGACTGTTCACATGGTCAGTATCAGTTGTCTGTCTTAGTGTCTGACTGTTCACATGGTGAGTGTCAGTTGTCTGTCTTAGTGTCTGACTGTTCACATGGTAAGTGTCAATTGTCTGTCTCAGTGACTGACTGTTCACATGGTAAGTGTCAATTGTCTGTCTTAGTGACTGACTGTTCACATGGTAAGTGTCAATTGTCTGTCTTAGTGACTGACTGTTCACATGGTCAGTATTAGTTGTCTGTCTTAGTGTCTGACTGTTCACATGGTAAGTGTCAATTGTCTGTCTTAGTGACTGACTGTTCACATGGTAAGTGTCAATTGTCTGTCTTAGTGACTGACTGTTCACATGGTAAGTGTCAATTGTCTGTCTTAGTGACTGACTGTTCACATGGTCAGTATCAGTTGTCTGTCTCAGTGTCTGACTGTTCACATGGTAAGTGTCAATTGTCTGTCTTAGTGACTGACTGTTCACATGGTCAGTATCAGTTGTCTGTCTTAGTGTCTGACTGTTCACATGGTAAGTGTCAATTGTCTGTCTTAGTGACTGACTGTTCACATGGTCAGTATCAGTTGTCTGTCTCAGTGTCTGACAGTTCACATGGTCAGTATCAGTTGTCTGTCTCAGTGTCTGACTGTTCACATGGTAAGTGTCAATTGTCTGTCTTAGTGTCTGACTGTTCCCATGGTAAGTATCAGTTGTCTGTCTTAGTGTCTGACTGTTCACATGGTCAGTGTCAATTGTCTGTCTTAGTGTCTGACTGTTCACATGGTAAGTGTCAATTGTCTGTCTTAGTGACTGACTGTTCACATGGTCAGTATCAGTTGTCTGTCTCAGTGTCTGACTGTTCACATGGTAAGAATCAGTTGTCTATCTCAGTGTCTGACTGTTCACATGGTAAGTATTAGTTGTCTATCTCAGTGTCTGACTGTTCACATGGTCAGTGTCAGTTGTCTGTCTCAGTGTCTGACTGTTCTAAATGGTCAAATAAAATAGTTATAGCTTTGTCAACAAACAGCACAAGACAACAGCATGTGAAACAGCATGAGACAACAACCTATCAAACAGCAAGAGACAATAGCCTGTGAAACAGCAAGATACAACAGCTGGTCAAACAGCAGAAGACAGCAGCTGGTCAAACAGCAGAAGACAGCAGCTGGTCAAACAGCAAGAGACAACAGCTGGTCAAACAGCAAGAGACAACAGCTGGTCAAACAGCAGAAGACAGCAGCTGGTCAAATAGCAAGATACAACAGCTAGTCAAACAGCAGAAGATAACAGCTAGTCAAACAGCAGAAGAGCAGCTGGTCAAAGAGCAAGAGACAACAGCTGGTCAAACAGCAAGAGACAACAGCTGACCAAACAGCAGAAGACAGCAGCTGGTCAAACAGCAGAAGATAACACTGGTCAAACAACAAGAGACAACAGCTGGTCAAACAGCAGAAGACAGCAGCTGGTGAAACAGCAAGAGACAACAGCTGGTCAAACAGCATGAGTGAGGCAACAGCCTGTTAAACAGCAAAAGACAACAACCTGTCAAACAGCAGGGACAAGAGTCTGTCAATCAAACAGTACAAGACAACAGCCTGTCAAACAAACAGTACAACAACAGCCTGTCAGTCAAACAGTACAGGACACCAGCCTGTCCAAAAAGTTAGAGACAACAGCTGCAGCAGGTACTAACCTATAACCCTGAACATATAGCCAGTTCCAGGATTGAGCCCTGTTGCGTTGACCTGATGCTTGCCTTTGGTTGTCGACTCGGGTCTGTAGCTCTCCACCACCGAGACAGCTGTCAATGGGGGACACACAAACAATCAGCATATAGGACACACAAACAGTCAACATAGAGGACACACAAACAGTTAGCATATAGACTTGAATTGTTATCATCATTATCTGTACACATGTACAAGGTGAGCACTGAGACTGATTTTATTATGGCCAAGACAAAAATGGCGTATATAAAGCAAAGCATGGAATCTAAAGAGACAACATTCATCTACGATCTTGCAACTTTTTATCACCGCTCGATAAGCAGACAACAAACAAGCCGCCATTTTGTTGACCTAGTCAGAGATGCATTGCTCCGACGCAATCAGCACAGAGCAAAAAGCTAATATTAAATTCTTTTTAAAACCAAGAATAAGTGCAATTGAAACAGTTGAACTGACTCAACAAGTTTATGGGGATAATTGTTTATCTCGTGCACAAATTTTTAGGTGGTATTCACGATTCAAAAGTGGTGTGGAAATTATTACCAATGCACCTAGACCTGGACGCCAAATTTCTGTTTGCAATGATGAACTCATTGCAAAAAATAAGAGAACGGATACAAAAAGATCTTTGTTTTACTGTTAAGATGATGGCAGATGAATCTAGTGGTAATAGAGTGACCATTAATAAAAGTTTTAGTGCAATATTTTGGCAAGAAAGTTTGTACCAAATTCATTGTTTGATGACCAAAAACATAAGCGGGTTGAGCAACCAAGAGACTTCATCAAAACAAAAATGGTTGCCCCAAAAACAAGTGTGTGTTCTCAGCCTATTTCCCAGATTTGTCTCCCTGTGATTATTTTTCCAAAATTGGGGTTTCGATTGAAAAGACGCTTTTTTAACGATTTTGATGATACCCAAAGGGCCGTAAAATCGACTGTAAGGGTCATAGCAACAGAAGAACTACAGAGATCTTTCCAGTGTTTGTTAGATCGTGCCCCTTGCTGTATTAATGCACAAGGGGCTTACTTTGAAGAAAATGCAGGTTGTATCTTCAGCTGTTGAGTACTTCAATTTTTATGGAATTTGTCTCTTTACTTAATTGTCGAACCTTGTATTTACTGTACCAGTTGTACCTGTGAATGTACAACACCTGTACTGTCAGTCTGGCTCTCTGTAACAACAATATGCAACATCAACAGAATGCAACATCAAAAATAACATACAACATACACTGTCAACAACATAAAACAACATCATACAGCTTGGATATGCATTATCAACTTGCAGTATCAACAAAGTAACAGAAAATACAAATAGCAACATACAACACGAGCATACAACAAACAGCATCAACAGCAACACACACAACATCAGTAACAGCAAATAACATCAGTAACAGCATACACCATCAACATAGAGCATCAACAGCAACACACCATACCAACAACATAATACAATAACATACAACATACACTATACAGTTTCAGCAACAGCAACGCTTAATGATAACACATAATAACATCCCATAACACCAAAATAAAACATTAACAATATATATCATCATCATGTAATATATAGCGGTGGCGTCCCTGGCTTAGGCATTGCAAGTCCTACTTGTAATCTAACTGTGCGAGTCATACTTGTAATCTAACCGTGCGAGTCATACTCGTAATCTAACCGTGCGAGTCATACTCGTAATCTAAAATACCGCAATCGAAAGCCATTACTGGCTGTGAGCATTTTTATCATGGTATAGGGCCTCATCGCAGGTGGACCCAGCCTAAAATGGGTACCAGGATGTATGTCTTGGGGAAGTAAAAATGACCAGCATAATGCTAACCACATTACCCACCAAGTGCTGATTGGTCTATAAAATATAGGTGCTCTTTCCATATGGCTGATGTGCTTAAAGGGGAGAAAAGAGATCTTTACTTTATAACATACAACAACAACGCTCAATAACGACACAGAACACCAGCAACAACATACATCATGCACCATACAGCATCTGACATAGCAAACAACAGCAACATACATAATGCACCTTACAGCATCTGACATAGCAAACAACAGCAACAACATACATCATGCACCATACAGCATCTGACATAGCAAACAACAGCAACAACATACATCATACGCAATACAGCATCTGACATAACAAACACCAGCAACAACATACATCATGAACAGCATCTGGCATAGCAAACAACAGCAACAACATACATCATACACCATACAGCATCTGACATAGCAAACAACAGCAACAACATACATCATACACCATACAGCATCTGACATAACAAACACCAGCAACAACATACATCATGCACAGCATCTGGCATAGCAAACAACAGCAACAACATACATCATACACCATACAGCATCTGACATAACAAACACCAGCAACAACATACATCATGCACAGCATCTGACATAGCAAACAACAGCAACAACATACATCATACGAAATACAGCATCTGACATAACAAACACCAGCAACAACATACATCATGCACAGCATCTGGCATAGCAAACAACAGCAACAACATACATCATACACCATACAGCATCTGACATAACAAACACCAGCAACAACATACATCATGCACAGTATCTGGCATAGCAAACAACAGCAACAACATACATTATACACCATACAGCATCTGACATAACAAACACCAGCAACAACATACATCATGCACAGCATCTTGCATAGCAAACAACAGCAACAACATACATCATGCACCATACAGCATCTGGCATAGCAAACAACAGCAACAACATACATCATGCACCATACAGCATCTGACATAGGAAAAAAACAGCAACAACATGCATATGACAGCAACAAGTACTGACTGAGAAGATCCTCCCAAACTCCTGGCTCAAACTGGTTGGACACCTGAATGAGGTGGACACTGATGGTGCCTCCGCTATTGTCTCCTTCCGTCCAGACAACCCCAGCAGATGTCTGAGTGACCGTGCCTGACTGGACATAGATTCCTGCTGGTTGTCTAGGGGGACCTGGTCAACAACATACAGCATCATCATCAACCTCATACAATAATGTACATTTGTTGTTTTCATCTGGATGATACCTTAGGGAGGGCAACAAATATAAACAAGAACAAGATTGCCAACCTTTCCACCAACAGAAATATAAGATAGCATTGCCAACCTGTCCACCAACAGAACTATAAGATAGTATTGCCAACCTGTCCACCAACAGAACTATAAGATAGCATTGCCAACCTGTCCACCAACAGAACTATAAGATAGCATTGCCAACCTGTCCACCAACAGAACTATAAGATAGCATTGCCAACCTGTCCACCAACAGAACTATAAGATAGCATTGCCAACCTGTCCACCAACAGAACTATAAGATAGCATTGCCAACCTTTCCACCAACAGAACTATCAGAAAGCATTGCCAACCTGTCCACCAACAGAACTATCAGAAAGCATTGCCAACCTGTCCACCAACAGAACTATAAGAAAGCATTGCCAACCTGTCCACCAACAGAACTATCAGAAAGCATTGCCAACCTGTCCACCAATAGAACTATAAGAAATCATCGCCAACCTGTCCACCAACAGAGCTATAAGATAGCATTGCCAACCTGTCCACCAACAAAACTATCAGAAAGGACTGCTAACATGTCCTCCAACAGAAAGTATTGCTATCCTTTCCAAAAACAGAACAATTAGAAAATACTGCCAACATGTCCACAAATTGAACCATGACAAAAGATTGCCAATCTGTCCACCAACAGAATAATCAGAAAGGATTAACAGACAGGTTTCTTGTACTTCGGCCACAGCTGACTGAAGGAGGTAATGGTGACTGACTAACAGAGGCAATGATGACTGACTGAAAGAGGTAATGATGACTGACTAAAAAAGGTAATGATGACTGACTGAAGGAGGCAATGATGAGTGACTAAAGGAGGTAATGATAAGTGACTTGAGTAGGCAGTAATGACTGACTGAAGGAGGCAATGGTGACTGACTGAAAGAGGTAATGATGACTGACTAAAGGAGGTAATGATGACTGACTGAAGGAGGTAATGATGAGTGACTGAAGGAGGTAATGATGAGTGACTGAAGGAGGTAATGATGAGTGACTGAAGGAGGTAATGATGACTGACTAAAAGAGGTAATGATGACTGACTGAAAGAGGTAATGATGACTGACTGTAGGAGGTAATGATGAGTGACTTAAGTAGGCAATGGTGACTGACTGAAGGAAGCAATGGTGACTGACTGAAAGAGGTAATGATGACTGACTGACAAAGGCAATGATGACTGACTGAAGGAGGCAGTGATGACTGACTTAAGTAGGCAATGGTGACTGACTGAAAGAGGTAATGATGACTGACTGACAAAGCCAATGATGACTGACTAAAGGAGGTAATGATAAGTGACTTAAGTAGGCAATAATGACTGACTGAAGGAGGCAATGGTGACTGACTGAAAGAGGTAATGATGACTGACTAAAGGAGGTAATGATGACTGACTGAAGGAGGTAATGATGAGTGACTGAAGGAAGCAATGGTGACTGACTGAAAGAGGTAATGATGACTGACTAAAAGAGGTAATGATGACTGACTGAGGAGGTAATGATGAGTGACTTAAGTAGGCAATGGTGACTGACTGAAGGAAGCAATGGTGACTGACTGAAAGAGGTAATGATGACTGACTGACAAAGGCAATGATGACTGACTGAAGGAGGCAGTGATGACTGACTTAAGCAGGTAATGATGAATGAAGAAGGGAGTAGTGATGACTGACAAAGGTTATGATGACTGACTGAAGGAGATAATGATGACTTACTGAAAGAGGCAATGATAACTGACTGAGGCAATGATGGCCGATGAAGGAGGTAATGTGGTAAAGATGACTTACTAAAGGAAGTAATGGAAGTAATGATGACTGACTGAAGGAGGGAATGATGACTGACTGAGGGAGGAAATGATGAGTGACTGAATGAGGTGATGAAAAGACAGAGATAAGGGTGATAGGAAGACAAGAAAGACAATTTAGAAATAAAATTAAAAAACAAGGCCTCAATACAAATAGGGTAATTCAAGTATTTTGGAGCAATTTTCACATCCAATGGAAAAACTGGACAAAGAAATTAGCTCAAGATGTATCAAAGCTAACCAAGCACTGGGGCAACTATCTCCCCTGTTGACACACAAGCAGATACCCCGTAGTACTAAAGTGAATCTTATCAATGGCCAACACTAATCCATCAGTGTCAAACGTGGACACTTACATCCATAAATGAACGTATAATTGTGACAACAGAGATGAAATGCCTTAGAAAAGCTGCAGGAATTTCAAGGAAAGAAAGAATACAAATCATGAAATCAGATGAATGCTAGGAATAAAGCCAGTCCTATAGGTCATCAAAAAACAACAAATGAAGTGGTTTGGACACCTAACAAGAATGCCCTGGTACTATCTGCCACAGCGAGCCACACTAAAACGTTACAACGGGCATAGAGCGAGGGGAAGACCTAGGAAAATATGGAGTGATGGCATAAAGAACAGCCTTATAGAAATGAACATCAGTCTTAATAGTGCTCTTGACAGAGCTCATCAACGAATATTACATCTCCCCCTGACACTTTGCTGAGGTACAAGGTGGAAGAAAAGAAGAAAGAAGAAGAAGTCAAGTATAATGTTTATATTGATATGATATTATCACTGGTGACAAGATAGTGTGTTACAGGTGACAAGCACTTACCTTGGATTGTCAAATATGCAGACCTTGATTCGGCGTTGAAGGGAGTCCTGGCCGTGCAGGTGTACTCTCCCTCATGGTCGAACTGTGCGTTCAATACATACAAGCCATTGGTGCCCGGACTGCCACCTTGTGTCTGTCACAGGAATAGAGCATCATTGTAACATTTTTTACTTGTTTCTAAGACATATAAAGCATCATTGTAACATTTGTTACTTGTCTCTAAGACATATAGAGCATCATTAAAACATTTGTTACTTGTCTCTAAGACATATAGAGCATCATTGTAACATTTGTTACTTGTCTCTAAGACATATAGAGCATCATTGTAACATTTGTTACTTGTCTTTAAGACATATAGAGCATCATTATAACATTTGTTACTTGTCTCTAAGACATATAGAGCATCATTATAACATTTGTTACTTGTCTCTAAGACATATAGAGCATCATTATAACATTTGTTACTTGTCTCTAAGACATATAGAGCATCATTATAACATTTGTTACTTGTCTCTAAGAGATATTGAGCATCATTATAACATTTGTTACTTGTCTCTAAGACATATAGAGCATCATTATAACATTTGTTACTTGTCTCTAAGACATATAGAGCATCATTATAACATTTGTTACTTGTCTCTAAGACATAATTATAATATCGTTATAAAATTTGTTGTGTCTGGCAGAGGAATATAACATCATTATAGCATATGTTATCTCTGCTATTGCCGTCCCTAAACCTGGATGAGAAAGAAGGAGGTTTGGGTGTGGGACCATTTTCTCTACCTTGTAAAAAATTATTTGCTACAGAAACTTGCAGGAAAGGATATCATTCAAAGAAACAAAGGAGTCAAGCGTGTGTGGTGCACAGAATGCATATATGATGGTTACTGATGAAAGCTGCTCTGCAGAAGTCAGTGGTCAAACATGCACACTACTCGACTCAGAAAAAATTAACTAATACATTCAAATGGTCCTATTAAAATTCAGGATGGTACAATGCTGACATCTGATACTGAGCAGAAAAAAGAGATGGGCAAAACACTTCAAAGAAATCTTATATAGACCCGGTCCACAAGAATCAATGAATTTTCATAAGGAGACAATATTACCAATAAATGTAGGACAGATAAAAGACATGGAAATCAGGGAGGTATTTAATTCATTAGCAAACAATTAGGCAGCAGGTGATGATGATATTACTGCAGACATACTCAAGGCAGCAGGTGATGATGACATTACTGCAGACATACTCAAGGGAGCAGGTGATGATGACATTACTGCAGACATACTCAAGGCAGCAGGTGATGATGATATTACTGCAGACACACTCAAGGCAGCAGGTGATGATGATATTACTGCAGACATACTCAAGGCAGCAGGTTATGATGACATTACTGCAGACATACTCAAGGGAGCAGGTGATGATGATATTACTGCAGACATACTCAAGGCAGCAGGTGATGATGATATTACTGCAGACATACTCAAGGCAGCACGTGATGATGACATTACTGCAGACATGCTCAAGGGAGCAGGTGATAATGATATTACTGCAGACATACTCAAGGCAGTAGGTGATGATGACATTACTGCAGACACACTCAAGGCAGCACGTGATGATGACATTACTGCAGACATACTCAAGGCAGCAGGTGATGATGATATTACTGCAGAAATTCTCAAGGCAGCAGATGAGGATGACATTACTGCAGACATACTCAAGGCAGTAGGTGATGATGACATTACTGCAGACACACTCAAGGGAGCAGGTGATAATGATATTACTGCAGACATACTCAAGGGAGCAGGTGATGATGACATTACTGCAGACATACTCAAGGGAGCAGGTGATAATGATATTACTGCAGACACACTCAAGGCAGTAGGTGATGATGACATTACTGCAGACATACTCAAGGGAGCAGGTGATAATGATATTACTGCAGACATACTCAAGGCAGTAGGTGATGATGACATTACTGCAGACACACTCAAGGCAGCAGGTGATGATGATATTACTGCAGACATACTCAAGGCAGCAGGTGATGATGATATTACTGCAGAAATTCTCAAGGCAGCAGATGAGGATGACATTACTGCAGACATACTCAAGGCAGCAGGTGATGATGACATTACTGCAGACATACTCAAGGCAGCAGGTGATGATGACATTACTGCAGACATACTCAAGGCAGCAGGTGATGATGATGTTACTGCAGACATGCTCAAGGCAGTAGATGTGGATGACATTACTGCAGACATGCTCGACTCAGCAGGTGATGATGATATTACTGCAGAAATTCTCAAGGCAGCAGATGAGGATGATATTACTGCAGAAATTCTCAAGGCAGCAGATGAGGATGATATTACTGCAGAAGGACTTGAGGCAGCATGTGATGTAATCATAAACAAAGTGAAAGATTTGTTAATTAGATTATGTTTAGAGGAACAAAATCTCAAATCAGTGGAAGAAAGGAAAAACTGTTAAAATTCCAAAGACAGATAACCTTGCTGACTGTAACAACTGGAGAGGAGTTACTCTGTTATCAGTAGTGTCAAATACTTTTGTAAAATAATTCTCAATAGAATGAAATGGTACTAGGGCAAATCCTGAGAGAGGAACAAGAGGATTTGACCAAGAAGAGCTGCTTATATCAAATACAAGGGTAAGTCAATAAGTAAGTAACAAATAGTTGTTTAAAAAAATAAAATAAGGATGATAACCTGAAAGCCATTTTTTTTTAACACATAAACTTCCTCCTTATTTTTCAACATAATTTCCACCAACATTGATGCACTTGTCCCATCATGCTATCATCATCATCATGTGCCTTGCCGACTGGCGTGGGCGATCATGCCTCTCCATAATCTGCGATCTCCTGCAGCATGTATCAGTTCGTGTGCCGACACACCTCCATGCCATGCAACAAGATTGTCAAGCATCTTCTCTCGTTGTCTTCCTCTATCCCTCCTTCCACAGATCTTTCCATTGGTTACAACATGTTCTATTTTCCCTCTTCTCATAACATGGCCGAAAAATGATGACTGTCTCCTTCTGATGTCTGTGATAAGTTGTCTTCGGGCTCCCGCCTCTTTCAAAACCTCTTGGTTGCTCTTTTTGGCTGTCCAAGGTATTCTAAGCATTCTTCTGTAAAACCACATCTCTGAGGTCTCTAAAAATTGTTTGGCCTGCCTACCGATTGTTCAGGATTCACATCCATATGTTAAAACTGGATTTATGTAGCAAGCAAGAATTCTTTTTCTAACTCTCAATGACAAGGACATATTGCACAAGATGTTTTTCATTTTATAAAATGCAGTTTTTGCCTGTCCAATTCTGTTTTCTTATTTCAGTTACGCATCTTCCATCTGATGTTATCCATGAGCCCAGATACTTAAATCTCTGTATTTGTCCTAAAATAACACCATTGACTTTTATTACACATTTAGGAATAATTTGTTTCTTTGATACCACCATTACTTCTGTCTTCCCATTATTCAAACTGAGGCCAATTCTTCCACTTTCTAACAGCACAATGTCTATCATTTCCTGTAATTCTTTCTGACTTGTTGCTATCAAGACTGTGTCATCGGCATAAGGTAAATTGTTTATATTGTGCCCACCAGCCACAATTCTGGGCATATCAATTAAAGATCTCATTATATATTCACTGTATATTGAAAACAAATCAGGTGAAAGTACACATCCTTGTCGTACGCCCCTCTTTATGCTTTGAAATGTACCTAAACAGTTGTTTATTCTTATAGCTGCTGTTTGCTGCTAATACATATTCTTTATTATACGTAGATCTTTTCCATCAATGTTTAATTTTTCTAACAGTTTGATTACTTCTTCATGCTTCACACAGTCAAATGCTTTTGTATAGTCTAGGAAGCATAAGTACAAATCAGTCTTTACTTCTATAGCTCTTTCTGACAATGTCCTTAGGATGTATATGGCATTGTTTGTACCTTTTCCTTCTACAAATCCACATTGTTCATCGCTGATTTCTGGTTTAATTTTGTTTCTTATTCTTCTCATAATTATTGTCAGTAAAATCTTGGTCATGTGACTCATAAGACTTATTGTGCGATGGTCTTCACATTTTAAAGTGCCTGGTTTCTTTGGCAGAGCTATAAATACTGAAATCATGCTATCAGTCCTACCAAACCTGCTGCATAGAACTGCATGCTCTATTTTATAAACCCCATTTTCACTTCACATTAACTTCTGTGTCATTCATGAAATTTCTCCCACCAAGGTGGGTTTTCAGTGGACTAAAAAGTTAGAAATCACTAGGGACTAAATCAGGGCTGTAAGGTGCATGTTCAAGCAGTTCCCTAATATGATGTGCTCAGGTCAACATACAGAGGGTGATTGTTTACCTGTCTGAAATGTACCAAGTCATAATAGAGGGGGAAGCCATTAAATGTCCACTGATGGACCATGTCGATGCCGGTCGGGTAGGAAGCCTCACATACCAGGAACACTGTCCGGTTGACAACAGCCACCTGGTTGGTGGGTGGCAAACTGATAGTGGCTCCACCTGTGATCAGGGTAAATGGTGTACACATTAGTCTCATTAGTATAGTGATTCAGTATTTATCTCATTAATATATTGATGTTAGAGTTAACCTCATTATTATATTGATGTAACAGTTCATCTCATTAACACAGTGGTAAAAATTCTACTTCTTCTTCAATTCTTACTTCCTCCTTAACCACTTCAGGTGTCAAGGGAGAAATACTATTCTGCTTCTTGTCAAGATTTTGTTTCTTGTTCTTCTAGCCACCTTGACCATAGATACATTGTGCTGTTGTAGAGTTTCTCTGCTGTTGTCTTGTCATCTTGTTCTTGGTCTACCTCATGCTCTATGTCCTTCCCCTCTTTTGGGGTATGCCTTGTATGGTATGGCATCCCCTGGTATTCTCTCTAAAATGGGCAAACTATTTTATTTGCTGTCTTGTACGTAAAAAAGAATTGATTCTGTTCTGACTGTTTCTCTCATAGCCTCATTTCTGATTTGGTCTTCTCTGGTCACTCTTGTAGTCTTCTCAGAATCTCATTTCCATGGTTACTAATTTTCTTGTATGGTGTATTGTAAGTGACCATGCCTGGCACTGGTAGCATGGGGGGGGGGGATGATTATGCTTTGTATGAGATGTTTGTGCTGTTTGGGATTGTTTTATGTTGTAAGAAATGATGCTAGTAGTCCCAATATTTGGTTTGTTTAAATTCATTTCATATTAATTTCTTCATCCAATTTCTCATCTTCAGGGAATGTTATTGCCAGATATTTAAACTCAGATGCCCGCTTAATGCTTTTTGTATTCTACTGCTATGTTTAGTTTCTGTTTCTTTTTTCCTACTGATGTTACTTCCGTCTTTTCAGTGTTAATGCTCATATGTAACTATTAGTATTATTAATACAGTAATGTAACAATTCTTCTTCTTCAGTATTAGTTGAGGTTCATTGCTGCAGATATCCCCCTCCCCCCTCCATTAATCTCTCTGGTTGGCCTTCTCTTTCCAGTTAGTGACATCAAGTGTTTGTAGGTCTGTCTGGATATTATTTCTCCATCATCTTCTTAATTGCCTCATAGTCCCTGATCCTTGTTTATACAGTTTTTATAACTCTCTGACTTCTGACATTCTCCCAATATGCCCCAGCTATTTCAGTCTATTAGCCCAGTGATCAATGGTGATTCAGAGAGATTATAAATTTTATTATTGCTTCTCTCCATTAGTATAGCCTGGAGAGAAGGATGCACCAGAGTGTAACCAGAAGGTCTGACCAGCTCACTACACTCAGAGGAGTGAGGTTTGATCGCAGTCTATCTTTCAAAGAACATGTTGACCATGTCATAACTATAGCATGCAAAGGCCTGTCAGCAATGAGGGTCCTGGCCGCCGCTAAACACTGAGCAGAGAGTGCTTCTGCTTCTGTTCCAGGGACTTGTACTTTCTTCCATCGAATATGCTCTTGCCTTCCTCACTGTCAGCTATACTCAGATTGAAATATTTGAGAAGGTACAAAATGAAGCAAGGCGCATTATTCTCGGGTGCACTGGAGACATCACTTGTGTAGCAATGAGGTACCTTCTTGACTTCCCTACTATTAACTACAGGATCAAGATCTGGAGGGCTCGTGCATACCTCAAGATAAGCTCAGATCTGAAGCACTCTTTGCACCACATGCTCTTCAAAAAAAAGGGCATTAGGCCTAAAAGGGGCAAATCATGGCTGGGTAGGGCAGAGGATGACATCATGCAGGTTTGCAGCCTTACAGGCATCCATCCAGGTGAGGAGTGGATACCAGAGTCTAAAGCGCCCAATCTCACATTCTCCTGTGTGGTGATGCTTTATAGGAATTCTCGGGAGCAGAATCCAGCTGCTTTCAATGCTGAGGTATGCACGCTTATCAGTGACAAGTCAGATGAGACAGATGTGGTGATCTTCACAGATAGGTCCGTTATATGACATAAGAGTGCATGGGCATTTACAACTCGCTTTTCAGGCACAACAGTTCAGAAAGCCAGCAGTGCCTTCTCCATGACCACCAGCAGCATGACGATGGAGATGATGGCGGTGACACAAGCTTTCATGTGGCTGGGATCACAGAACTATTCCTGCGTGTGTGTGCTGAGTGATTCTTTGAGCATGATCTGGCAGGTCGAGGCAGGCTGGTTACGCAGACAGTGGCTTGAGTCGTTGCAAAACTCTGTGCTGGCTGCTGAAGATGAGGATGGAGTGCGCATGGGAATGCCCGAAGTGCTGTGATGACAATTCTTTACCCAACTCAACTCAGTTCAACTCAACTCTCCACTGCCCATTGTTTGCATCTTTGATGAGTCCTAATATTCATCATTAGATCCTGTTTTTAAAAAAATGGTGTAATAAGGTTTTGTCTTTTTTTAGCTTTGCTCAAAGTTTCAGAGCTATATAAAACGAATCATTTGATCAATGATGTATGTATTTTGATCTTGATTTTAAGCAACTGAGACTTTGACTTCATATTAATAAAGTGGTGTGACAATTAGTGTCAATAATATAGTGATGCGACAATTAATGTCATTGATATATTGATGTGACAATTAGTGTAAATAATATTGTGATTTGACAATGAGTCATTGATATTTTGATGTGACAATGCCATTAATATAGTGATTTGACAGAGTAATTAAAATAGTGTTGTGGTAATTAATGCCATTAAAATAGTGATGTGAAATTTAATTTCATTAATATAGAGATGTGACTATTAATGTCTTCTTCCTCCTTTTTCTTCCTTCTTCTTCTTCCTTCTTCTTTTTCCTCCTCCTTATCCTCCTCCACCTTCTGCTTCTCCTTCTCCTCCTTCTCCTCCTCCTTTTCCTTCTTCTTCTCCTCTTCCTCATCCTCCTCCTGCTTCTGCTCCCCCTTCTCTTCTTCTTCTTCTTCTTCTTCTTCTTCTTCTTCTTCTCTTTCTCCTCCTCCTTCTTTATTCTACCTACGTCTTTCTTCTTTCTTCTTCTTCTTTTTCTTCTTTTCTTTGTCTTCTTCTTCTTCTTCTTTTTTTTTCTGCTTGTTATCCCCCAATTGAGCATAGGCACACAATGTACTCCTATCCAGTCCATGTAATGTAACAATTAGAGTGATCATTACAGTAATGCAGCCGTGAGTCCCTTGCAGACACTAACATGCACAGACATCTCCATAAAAGAGATGCAGAGGAAGCCTGGACTGGTGGTGTTTCTGTACAAAGTTAAACTTTAGGAGAAATGATTATAAACTTTAGTTAGGTGATGATACAGTTGTAGATAATGATACATTTTAAATGGATTGCTATCAATATGAAAATGATGACTATATACTTTAAAGTGTGAATAAAAACTTTAAGGGGGTGACTATAAACTATCAAGGGGTAACTATAAACTTTAAGGGTGTGATTATAAACTTTAAGGTGTGAATAAAGACTTTAAGGTGTGACTATAAACTATAAGGGGGTGACAATACACTTTGAGCAGGTGATTTTAATCTTTGAGTGTAGTGACTATAAACTTTAAGCAGTTGCTATAAACTTTAAGGGCATGACTATTAACATGAAGGTGTGACTATCAACGTTAAGGAATAAATATAAACTGTAAAGGGGTGAATATAAACTTGAAGGGAATGAATGTAAACTTTAAGGTGTAGCTATAAACTTTGAGCTGTGATAACAAACATAAAGGGGTGCCTATAAATTATAAAGTGTGACTATAAACTTTAAAGAGGGAATCTAAACTTTAGGGAGTGAATATAAAATTTAAGTTGTGACTGTACACTTTAAAGAGTAACTATTAACTATAGGGAGTGAAAATAAATTTTAAGGGAATGGCTTTAACATTTAGGGCATGAATGTAAACTTCTTTAAGGTGTGTATAAACTTTAAGTAGTGAAAATAAACTTTTTGGTATTTCTTTAAATTTTAAGGAGCGAAAAAAATGTTTAAGGTGTGTCTAAAAACTTTAAGGGGATGACCATAACCTTTAAGGGTATGACTATAAACATTAAAGATTGAATATAAACTGGTAAATGATTACAGAGGGATTATAAACTTTAAGGCGTGAATGAAAACTATATGGTGTGACTGTAAACTTTAGACGGTACTAGAAACTTTAAAGGGGGAACTATACACTTAAACTGGGTGGCTTTAAACTTTGAGAGGTAACAATAAACTTTTAGGTGTGACTATAAACTTCAAGGTGTGACTTTAAACTTTAAGGAGTAAAATGTGACGATACACTTTACTTCTTGACTATAAACTTTAAGGTGTGACTATAAACTTCATGAAGTTAATATGAACTTTAAGTTGTGACTATAAACTTTAAGGTGTGGCTGTGGACATTGGGGGGTGACAATTAACTTAAAGGGGGGGGTGACTATAAACTTTATGGGGGTGACTATAAACTTCAGGGGGTGACTATAAACTTAAAGGAGGTGACTATAAACTTTAAGAAGGTGACTATACACTTTAAGGTGTGACTATAAACTTTCAGAAGTGAATGTAAACATTAAGATGTGACTATAAGCTTTAATTCTTGACTATAAACTTTAAAGTGTGACTGTAAACTTTAAGGGTATGACTATAAATTTTAAGGTGTGACTATAAGAGGTGATTCTAAAATTTGAGGGGATGGTCATAAAGTCAGGAAGGTCCAAATAAAGATTGAGGAGATGGTCATAAAGTCAGGAAGGTACAAATAAAGATTGAGGAGATGGTCATAAAGTCAGGAAGGTACAAATAAAGATTGAGGAGATGGTCGTAAAGTCAGGAAGGTACAAATAAAGATTGAGGAGATGGTCATAAAGTCAGGAAGGTACAAATAAAGATTGAGGAGATGGTTGTAAAGTCAGGAAGGTCCAAATAAAGATTGAGGAGATGGTTGTAAAGTCAGGAAGGTCCAAATAAAGATTGAGGAGATGGTTGTAAAGTCAGGAAGGTACAAACTTGTGACATCCAAATTTGTGGAAGCCTGAGCCTCGCCGTAACTGTTGGTGGCTTTGCAAGTGTAGACGCCCTTGTCACCCGCAGAAATCTGGGTTATGTGCAGGTTCCCATTAGCTAGTATTGTATACTTGACCCCATCTGACATGTGAGACAAACAATTATATGGTGTGTTTTTTTCTCTGATGTAATCACAGGTGACATAAAAAATTATCTAGTATCTTATACCTGACTCAATCACAGGTGACATAAACAATTATCTAGTATCTTTTACCTGGCTCAGTCACAGGTGACATAAACAATTATCTAGTATCTTATACCTGACTCAATCACAGGTGACATAAATAATTATCTAGTATCTTATATCTGATTCAATCACAGGTGACATAAACAATTATCTAGTATCTTATACCTGACTCAATCACAGGTGACATAAACAATTATCTAGTTATCTTATACCTGACTCAATCACAGGTGACATAAATAATTATCTAGTATCCTATAACTGACTCAATCACAGGTGACATAAATAATTATCTAGTATCTTATACCTGACTCAGTCACAGGTGACATAAACAATTATCTAGTATCTTATACCTGATTCAATCACAGGTGACATAAATAATTATCTAGTATCTTATACCTGATTCAATCACAGGTGACATAAATAATTATCAAGTATCTTATACCTGACTCAATCACAGGTGACATAACACACACACACACACACACACACATACACACACACGCATGCATGAGCTATGTGCATGTTTCCGTTGTCTAGTAGTGTGTGTGTGTGTGTGCGTGCATGTGTGTGTGTGTGTTCTGGTGTTTCAGCTAGACAGCTTACCACTATTGATGGCAGCTCCACCCCTGGACCAGGTGATGGTGGGAAACGGTGAGCCTTCAGGCTGACAACGGAGAGTGAGGTTGCCACCATTGGAAGCGATGATACTTGATGGTGGCGGGAATTTGTTGATGTTTGGGGCAAAGGCTGCGGGGAAGGAATCTTAATCTGATCAACATGTCCTTAAATCAATATGTCCATAACATCAAAATGTTTGAAACATCAACATGATCATAACATCAAAATGTCCATAACATCAAAATGTCCATAATATCAAAATGTCCATAACATCAAAAACGTCCATAATATCAACATGTCCGTAACGTCAACATAACCATAACATTAACATCACCATAGCATCAACATGACATTTACATCAACATGTCTACATCATCAACATGTCCATAACATCAACATGACCTTTACATCCACATGACCTTTACTTTAATATGTCCATAACATCAAAATGTCCATAACATTAACACGACCTTTAAATCAACATGAACATAACATCAACATGACTATAACATCAACATGTCCATAACATCAACATGACCATAACATCAACATGACCTTTTTACATCAACATGACCTTTACATCAAAAGGACCATTAAATTAACATGACCTTTACATCAACAAGACCATAACATCAACAGGACGTTTACATCAACATGACTATTACATTAACATGATCTTTACATCAATATGACTATAACATCAACATGTAAATGACATCAACATGACCTTTACATCAACATGACCATAACATCAACATGACTATAACATCAACATGTCGATAACATCAACATGACCATAACATCAACATGATCTTTTTACATCAACATGACCTTTACATCAAAAGGACCATTAAATTAACATGACCTTTACATCAACATGACCATAACATCAACAGGACGTTTACATCAACATGACTATTACATTAACATGATCTTTACATCAATATGACTATAACATCAACATGTAAATGACATCAACATGACCTTTACATCAACATGACCTTTACATCAAAATATATTTAACATCAACATGTAAATGACATCAACATGACCTTTACATCAACATGTCCTTTATATCAACATAACCATCACATTAACATGACCAATACATCAACATGTAAATGATATCAACATGACCTTTACATCAACATGACCTTTACATCAAAATATATTTAACATCAACATGTAAATGACATCAACATGACCTTTACATCAACATGTCCTTTATATCAACATAACCATCACATTAACATGACCAATACATCAACATGTAAATGATATCAACATGACCTTTACATCAACTTGACCTTTACATCAACATGTAAATGATATCAACATGGCTTTTACATCAACATGACCATAACATCAACATGACCATTACATCAACATGACCTTTATATCAACATGACCATTACATCACCATGTCCATAACATCAACATGACCATAACATCAGTATGAACATAACATCAACATGACCATAACATCAGTGTGACCATAACATCAACATGACCATAACCATAACATCAACATGACCATAACATCAGTATGACCATAACATCAACATGATCATAACATCAACATGACCATAACATCAGTATGACCATAACATCAACATGATCATAACATCAACATGACCATAACATCAACATGACCATAACATCAACATGACCATAACATCAACGTGACCATAACATCAGTATGACCATAACATCAACATGTAAATGATATAAACAATCCCAGCATTGTCTGACTCTCTGGCAATCTGATGAGCGTTTGACTTTTTGATGACTGTCTACTGTCTGAAAACTACTGACTGATGACTGATTTTTGTCTAACTGACTGATGACTGTCCAACACAATAACATCACTGATGTAAAACTGGAGAAAAATACACCAGTACTGTAAAACTGAAGACAAACACATCACTGATGGTGACATCACTGACCCAGAACTCGAAGTTGTGCATTACTGTGTGAAGTGCCATGTTCATTGGTGGCCCCGCACTGATACATGCCATTGTGCACTTTGGGGTCCAGTTTAGTAATTGTCAGCACATTCTTTTGTATCTGGAATCAATCAAATGTTGGATTATTTTGTATACATGGGTTAACTCATGGAACCAATCAAATATTGGATTATTTTGTATACATGGGTTAACTCATGGAATCAATCAAATGTTGGATTATTTTGTATACATGGGTTAACTCATGGAATCAATCAAATGTTGGATTATTTTGTATACATGGGTTAACACATGGAATCAATCAAATGTTGGATTATTTTGTATACATGGATTAACTCATGGAATCAATCAAATGTTGGATTTTTTTGTATACATGGGTTAGCTCATGGAATCAATCAAATGTTAGATTATTTTGTATACATGGATTAACTCATGGAATCAATCAAATGTTAGATTATTTTGTATACATGGATTAACTCATGGAATCAATCAAATGTTGGATTATTTTGTATACATGGATTAACTCATGGAATCAATCAAATGTTGGATTATTTTGTATACATGGGTTAACTCATGGAATCAATCAAATGTTGGATTATTTTGTATACATGGGTTAACTCATGGAATCAATCAAATGTTGGATTATTTTGTATACATGGATTAACTCATGGAATCAATCAAATGTTGGATTATTTTGTATACATGGATTAACTCATGGAATCAATCAAATGTTGGATTATTTTGTATACATGGATTAACTCATGGAACCAATCAAATGTTGGATTATTTTGTATACATTGATTAACTCATGGAATCAATCAAACATTGGGTTATTAATGCATGTGTTGGTTACTCATGAAATCACCAAACATTTGATTATTATTGCAAATGAGGGTTATTAATGGAATCAACCATAAATGTAGGATTATTTTGTGTACATAGTGTTTCTCATGGAATCAATTAAATGACCGATTATTTGACATGGGTGTTCTCATAGAAGCAATCCAATGTTTGACTATTATTTTGTATGTGGCTTCTTAACGGCATCAGTCAAACATTGAATTATTATTGTATATGTGGGTACTTATTGAACCAATCTCATGGAAATTATTATTGTATGTGTGGGTACTTATAGAACCAATCAAATGTTATGAGAGTGCATATGGAACCAATCAAATGTTGGATTATTATTGTATGTGTGGGTACTTATAGAACCAATCAAATGTTGGATTCTTATTGTATGTGTGGGTACTTATGGAACCAATAAAAAGCTGGATTGTTATTGTATATGTGGGTACTCAAGGAACATATGAAATGTTAAATTATTATTGTATATGTGGAAATTTATGTAAAAATTGCACTCGTGAACTGAAAGGTGAAGCCATGGAATGAACCCACGACCTTCAGAGCAAAAGGTAAAATGCTTGACCACTTTGCCGTGGAGACTTCCAGATTATTCTTCCATATGTGGGTACTCAAGGAGCCAACTAAACTATGGGATTATTACTGTATATGTGGGTACTCAAGGAGCAAATTAAATGTGGGATTATTACTGTATATGTGGGTACTCAAGGAGCAAATTAAATGTGGGATTATTACTGTATATGTGGGTACTCAAGGAGCAAATTAAATGTGGGATTATTACTGTATATGTGGGTACTCAAGGAGCAAATTAAATGTGGGATTATTACTGTATATGTGGGTACTATTGGAACCAGTCAAGTTGGGTAGCAGTCTGTGTGTATATACAAAGTATATATCTATTCACCATTTAAAAATTAATTACCGTTAAATACCATCAGTTCTTCGTTATAAACACAGGTCACATACATCACTGACAGAGAGTAACAGACAACACATATCACAGACATCACTGACAGACACTCACCCTGATAGTTGGTGATGTCTCGCTAGTGATTGCCACACCATTTTTGAACCACTGGTAGGTGGGCTCAGGGTTTCCCCTGGCATTACAAATCCATGTGAGCTGAGAGTCGATGTCTGCATGTTGGTCCTCTAGAGGGCTCACAAAGTAGGGGATTGCTGCAACACAGATGGCAGAGATGACAGTCAACTCAAGATACACCAGCAGCATGAAGTAATTAATGAGAACAGCAACACACACATTATGAAACATAAAACATACATCTACAGAAAAATGAAGTATGTATTATGAAACATTTAACATAAATCTACAGAAAAACATAATACACATTATGAAACATAAAACATACATCTAAAGAAAAGAGCAACATACATTGTGAAACATAAAATATAAAACATACATCTTCAGAAAAGAATGAAACACATTATGAAACATACAACATGCACCTACAGAAAACAGTGACACACGTCAAGAAACATTCAAAATATGTTGACAGAAACAGTGAGACACATAACATAAATTTAGAGAAATCAGTAACATACATTATGAAACATATAACATACATCTACGGAAACACAAGACACATTATGAAAGATAAAACATACATCTACAAAAAATACCAACACACATTATGAAAGAGTATAACATATATCTACAGAAAACAGTGACACACATTATGAAAGATACAACACACAGCTACAGAAAACAGCAACACACATTATGAAACATACAACACACAGCTGCAGAAAACAGCAACACACATTATGAAACATACAACAAGTGAACAGCGTCCAAGGCTCCTTAACACTGATGTTGGAAATGAACATCTAAACTGAATTCTCACATCTGTCATTACACCAATGCAAGTCATAAGGAATCATGTGTGGTGTAGACATCAACACAAGAGAACAGACATGATACATTACACACACAAAAGTTTTGACCATGATTACAACACAAAATAGACAAGATCAGTAGGTGTGTATTTTGTTCAGTGACCTATAAGCATTAACCAAGTGTACGCACGCACGCATGTATGCACACGCATGCGTGCACATGCATGCATGCACGCACCCACCCACGCACGCATGCACGCACGCACACACACAGAGACACATCTGCACACACAGTAGCAGGTGTGTATTTTGTTCACTCACCTCCCAGCATTAACTGCATGACTTTTGTATCACTGGCTGCAGCTCCTCTTTGAACTGTACATCTGAAAATTGGCAAATGCACAAATTAATTACATTGTACTCATCCTTCCCCTGTGAGGTTGTTAGGACACCATTGTGGGGAAAAACAAGAATGGAACCACTGCCTCCCAAACAAGTATGCAGTAGGAGCTGACTAGCTGGGGGCATCCTTCCAAGTCAGAGTAAATCTGCTTTAGAGGCAAGGAACCAACAGTCTGCATACAAATAAACCAGATGCAGGAAACGGATGTACACACAACACTCAGGTTCTGGAATGAGACTAAAGTCTGAAGGTGGAATAACACCCAGAACTTTCCACCAAAGTTTACAACTGGTAAGTGTGGATAGTGGAGGGTGAGTGCTCATAAGGCTATCATGGTCTACTCATATCGTACCAGCCTTGTACTCACTTAGAACTCACATTGTACTCAGGGTGCTTACATTGTACACACTGAATCCATATTGTGCTCATACTGTACTCATACTACACTCATTTTCTGTCTATACAAACTCACAGTGTAACCACATATTTGTCACATTATTCCCAACATATACTTACAGTGTACTTACACTTTGTTCAGATTTTGCTAACACTGTACTCACACTGTTCTTAACATTAACTCACACTACACCCACCAGCTACTCACACAATACCCACAGTCTACTCACACAATACTCACTGTGTACTCACATTGTACATACATTATACCCACAATCTACTCACAATGTACTCACACTATACCAACAATCTACTCACAATGTACTCATACTATACCAACAATCTACTCACAATGTACTCATACTATACCCAAAACCTACTCACATTGTAATCACACTATACCCACAATCTACTCACATTGGACATTCATTATACACACAATCTACTCACATTGTAATCACACTATACCCACAATCTACTCACATTGGACATTCATTATACACACAATATACTCACAATGTACTCACACTATACCCACAATCTACTCACATTGTACATACATTGTACATACATTATACACACAATATACTCACAATTTACTCACACTATACACACAATCTACTCACATTGTACCCACACTGTACTCACACTATACCCACTATCTACTCACGTGTGTTTGTTTGTGTGTCTGTGTGTGTGTGTCTGTGTGTGTCTGTGTGCATACGTGTGTCTGCATGTTTGACTGTGTGCATGTCTGTGTATGTGCGAGTGCTGTCTATGTCTCTGTGTGTGTCTATATGTGTGTGTCTGGGGGGGGGGGGGGGAGGGGGAGGGGGTTGCGTGTGGGTGTGTGTGTGCATGTGCATGTGTGTGTGTGTCTGTGTATGTGTGCGTGTGTGTATATATGTGTGTGTGTGTGCCTGCATGCATGCATGCATATGTGCATGCATGCATGTGTGTGTATGAGTGTGTGTGTGAAATGTATGTGTGTATGTGTGTATGTATGTATGTATGAGTGTATGTATGTATGTATGCATGCATGCCTCACATAGTACCCACACTGTACTCACACTATACCAACAATTTACTAACACTGTACGCACACTGTACTCACACTGTACTCACACTATACACACAATCTACTAACACTGTACCCACACTGTACTCACACTATACCCACAATCCATTAACACTATACCCACAATCTACTCATATAATACTCACAATGTTCTCACACTATACTTAAAATCTACTCAGATTGTACTCACATTGTACTCAGACTGTATGATGAGAAACAGACAACATACCTGTAGATGCCACTGTCCTCTAGCTGAGCATCTCTGATGGTCAGCACACGGTTCTGGTCACTCAGGACCACAGATCCTGGCATTGGCTTATCTTCTCGTGTCCACTGGTAGGTAAACACAGAGGTGGACCTGTGAACACATGACCAGGTGGGGGACATACAGTCAACATCTCAATGTTGGAGACATACAGTCAACATCTCAATGTGGGAGACATACAGTCAACATCTCAATGTGGGAGACATACAGTCATCATCTCAATGTGGAGGACATACAGTCAACATCTCAATGTGGGGGACATACAGTCAACATCTGAATGTGTGGGACATACAGTCAACATCTCAATGTGGAGGACATATAGTCAGCATCTCAATGTGAGGGACATACAGTCAACATCTCAATGTGGGAGACATACAGACAGCATCTCAATGTGGGGGACATACAGTCAACATCTCAATGTGAGGGACATACAGTCAACATCTCAATGTGAGGGACATACAGTCAACATCTCAATGTGAGGGACATACAGTCAACATCTCAATGTGAGGGACATACAGTCAACATCTCAATGTGAGGGACATACAGTAAACATCTCAATGTGAGGGACATACAGTCAACATCTCAATGTGGGGGACATACAGTCAACATCTGAATGTGTGGGACATACAGTCAACATCTCAATGTGGAGGACATATAGTCAGCATCTCAATGTGAGGGACATACAGTCAACATCTCAATGTGGGAGACATACATTCAGCATCTCAATGTGGGGGACATACAGTCAACATCTCAATGTGAGGGACATACAGTCAACATCTCAATGTGAGGGACATACAGTCAACATCTCAATGTGAGGGACATATAGTCAACATCTCAATGTGAGGGACATACAGTCAACATCTCAATTTGAGGGACATACAGTCAACATCTCAATGTGGGGGGACATACAGTCAACATCTCAATGTGGAGGACATACAGTCAGCATCTCAATGTGGGGGACATACAGTAAGCATCTTTATGTGGTGAACATACAGTCAGCATCTTTATGTGGGGAACATACTATCAACATCTCAGTGTGTGGGACATACAGTCAACATCTCAATGTGAAGGACATACAGTCAACATCTCAATGTGGAGGACATACAGTCAGCATCTTTATGTGGGGGACATACTATCAACATCTCAGTGTGTGGGACATACAGTCAACATCTCAATGTGGGAGACATTAGGTCAACATCCCAGTGTGGGAGACATTAAGTCAACATCCGAGTATGGGAGACATTAAGTCACCATCTCAGTGGTTGAGATGTACAATCAACATCAAAATGATAAAACATACATGTTTGTGTGAGCATTTATGCATGAAGATGATTGACTAAGTACTTATATATGGGGACTGCTCAAGTACTTATGCATGGGGATGCTCGACTAAGTATTAGTACTTATGAATGGGGATGCTTGACTAAGTATTAGTACTTATGAATGGGGATGCTTGACTAAGTATTAGTACTTATGAATGGGGATGCTTGACTAAGTATTAGTACTTATGAATGGGGATGCTTGACTAGATATTGAGTACTTATGCAAGGGGATGCTTGACTAGATATTGAGTACTTATGCATGGGGATGCTCTACTAAGTACTTAGTACTGACGCATGGGGATACATGGCTAAGTACTAGGTGCAAATGAATGAGGATGTTTAACTAAGTACTTAGTGCTTATGAATGGGGATGCTCAACTAAGTACTTATGCATTGGGATGCTTAACTTAGTACTTAGTACTTATGCAGAGGGATGCTCAACTAAGTACTTATGCATGGAGAGGTTCAACTAAGTAATTAGTACTTATGCACGGGGGTGCTTGGGTAAGTACATGAGGATACTTGACTAAGTACCTATCCTTGAGGATTCTTGGCTAAGTACTAGATACTCATGGGGATGCTTGACTAAATACTATTCACATATGCATGAGGATACTTGGCTAAGTACTAAGTACAAACTTATGTATGAGGAGCCTTGACTAAGTACTATGTGCTTATACATGGGAATGCTTGATTAAGTACTTAGTACTTATATATGAGGATGCTTGACTAACTACTTATATATGAGAATGCCAGGATTAAGGTCTTGAGTTCGATTCTGCATTGTGAAGTTTTTGTTCCAAAGTCAATTTTTGTCTCAACACACAGTCTCTATGGATCAAAGACCATTTCAGTAGATTCATTTCTCTGTAGACAAAACAGATCACAACAAATAAAAAAACAAGACTGGATTATATCATTGTCTGTCAGTAGACCCACACTGAGAACAAAGACAATACTTACGACCCGTAAGCAAAACACTCCAGTCGGACATCTTGGCCTCGCATAGGTGACTTTGGGAACACCGCGATGAAATCATTCTGTATGGCTGGACCCCATTCTGACAATGGAGCTGTACAAGAAAAAGCATGGATATACTTGGGTTATATTTTGTGATAATGGTGTTGGACAAGAAGAAACATGGATATACCTGGGTTTTATTTTGTGATAATGGTGTTGGACAAGAGAAAACATGGATATACTTGGGTTATATTTTGTGATAATGGTGTTGGACAAGAGAAAACATGGATATACCTGGGTTATATTTTGTGATAATGGTGTTGGACAAAAAAAAATGTGGATATACTTGGGTTATATTTTGTGATTATGGAGCTGGACAAGAGAAAACATGGATATACTTGGGTTATATTTTGTGATTATGGAGCTGGACAGGAGAAAAAATGGATACACTTGGGTTATATTTTGTGGTAATGGATCTGGACAGGAGAAAACATGGATACACTTGGGTTATATTTTGTGATTATAGAGCTGGACAGGAGAAAACATGGATACACTTGGGTTATATTTTGTGATTATGGATCTGGACAGGAAAAAACATGGATATACTTGGGTTATATTTTGTGATTATAAAGCTGGACAGGAGAAAAAATGGATACACTTGGGTTATATTTTGTGGTAATGGATCTGGACAGGGAAAAACATGGATACACTTGGGTTATATTTTGTGGTAATGGATCTGGACAGGAAAAAACATGGATACACTTGGGTTATATTTTGTGATTATAGAGCTGGACAGGAGAAAACATGGATACACTTGGGTTATATTTTGTATGGATCTGGACAGGAAAAAACATGGATATACTTGGGTTATATTTTGTGATTATAAAGCTGGACAGGAGAAAACATGGATACACTTTGGTTATATCTGTGATGATGGAGACAGACAAGAAAAAACATGGTAATACTCGGGTTATACTTTGCAATAATGATGATGGACAACACCTAACACTGGGAGACATGATTCTTTTGTTAATATTTAGAACGACAAACAGGGGTATGCATTTTTCTTGCATGCTCTCACAGGAATTTGCATTCTCCTGAAAATGTTGTCAGTGCTTTTGTTATTAATAAAAGTTAAATCAGATAAATATTGGATAGGTGAATTATAAAGCACAATTTAACACTGCTACCAGTGTCAGTCAGATATGTACAGTTACGGACATGTGATTTTAACAGAGCTTAAACACCATTTAACACAAGTATGTCAGCTCAGCTTAGTTTAAACACCATTTCACACAAACATGTGAGCTCAGTTGAGCTTAAACACCATTTCACACAAACTTGTGAGCTCAGTTGAGCTTAAACACAATTTCACACAAACATGTGAGCTCAGCTGAGCTTAAACACCTTTTCACACAAACATGTGAGCTCAGCTGAGCTTAAACACCATTTCACACAAACTTGTGAGCCCAGTTGAGCTTAAACACCATTTCACACAAACATGTGAGCTCAGTTGAGCTTAAACACCATTTCACACAAACATGTGAGCTCAGTTGAGCTTAAACACCATTTCATACAAACATGTGAGCTCAGTTGAGCTTAAACACCATTTCACACAAACATGTGAGCTCAGTTGAGTTTAAACACCATTTCACACAAACATGTGAGCTCAGTTGAGCTTAAACACCATTTCATACAAACATATGAGCTCAGTTGAGCTTAAACACCATTTCACACAAACATGTGAGCTCAGTTGAGCTTAAACACCATTTCACACAAACATGTGAGCTCAGTTGAGCTTAAACACTATTTCAGACAAACATATGAGCTCAGCTGAGCTCACTCATAAGGTCACACACTGTCACTGACCTTGGTCCTCAACAACCAGGGGGATAGGCATGCTGGTGGCCATGGGCGGCTGGTCAGTTCCAATGGTGTACCTATTGACTCCCGTCAGAATGGCTGAAACATAAGGGAATTTTTGTTGTTGTCATTAGTACAAACACTCTGTTGATCACATGTTCATGTCATCAGTACAAACATTAGATTGATCAAATGTTCTTGTCATCAGTACAAACATTCCAGTGATCAATTGTTCATCTCATAAGTACAAACATTCCAGTGATAAAATGTTCATGTCATCAGTACAAACATTCCATTGATCACTTGTTCATGTCATCAGTACAAACATTCCATTGATCACATGTTTATGTCATAAGTACAAACATTCCATTGATCACATGTTTATGTCATAAGTACAAACATTCCATTGATCACATGTTTATGTCATAAGTACAAACATTCCATTGATCACATGTTCATGTCATCAGTACAAGCATTCCATTGATCACATGTTCATGTCATAAGTACAAACATTCCATTGATCACATGTTCATGTCATAAGTACAAACATTCCATTGATGACATGTTCATGTCATCAGTACAAACATTCCATTGATCACATGTTTATGTCATAAGTACAAACATTCCATTGATGACATGTTCATGTCATCAGTACAAACATTCCATTGATCACATGTTTATGTCATAAGTACAAACATTCCATTGATGACATGTTCATGTCATCAGTACAAACATTCCATTGATCACTTGTTCATGTCATCAGTACAAACATTCCATTGATCACATGTTTTTGTCATCAGTAACATCCCATTGATCAAGTATTATTGTCATCAGTACAAACATTCCATTGATCCTATGTTCTAGTTCTAATGTAAGTACCCATGACAGAATATAGATACTCACAAAACTGATGTTCACTCATTCATTATTCTGCTGTGCCATTATGTGCCACATAGGGCTTGAAGGCTATTCCTTCCTTCTATTCTACCCTGTGCAATCAGTCCAATATCATGGATGGAGTCCAGCAGCTTTGGCCTCTCTCATAAACATACATGGATGGAGTCCATCAGCTTTGGCCTCTCTCATAAACATACATGGATGGAGTCCATCAGCTTTGGCCTCTCTCATAAACATACATGGATGGAGTCCATCAGCTTTGTCCTCTCTCATAAACATACATTGATGGAGTCCATCAGCTTTGGCCTCTCTCATAAACATACATGGATGGAGTCCATCAGCTTTGGCCTCTCTCATAAACATACATGGATGAAGTCCATCAGCTTTGGTCTCTCTCATAAACATACATGGATGGAGTCCATCAGCTTTGGCCTCTCTCATAAACATACATGGATGGAGTCCATCAGCTTTGGCCTCTCTCATAAACATACATGGATGGAGTCCAGCAGCTTTGGCCTCTCTCATAAACATACATTGATGGAGTCCATCAGCTTTGGCCTCTCTCATAAACATACATTGATTGAGTCCATCAGCTTTGGCCTCTCTCATAAACATACATGGATGGAGTCCATCAGCTTTGGCCTCTCTCATAAACATACATTGGGGGGGGGGGGGGGGGGGAGAGCGTTGGGCGTCCTGACCTTCTTAATCTATTTATTTCCATTGTAATGCCTCTTTGGTGATTCTCTACTCGTTTATTCTCAGGATGTCTCCAATATAGCACCATCTGCTATGTCTTATAACTGTTGATACTTTATGGTAACCCAAACATTTCTCTTATTTTTTTTCACCAATCTTGAATTAATCACACTTTGTTTTCATTGTTTCCCCCTATCATTTGTTTTGAATGCATTTAACTTTATTCCATGTCTTAATTGGTTCTCCAAACTGTCACTGGCATACGTCAAAATTTAAATAACATTAGAAGTGAAAATTGTAACTTGTATTTATAACTATACAGTTTAGAGATCAATATTTTGTTCAGGCTATTCACAGCTGCTGATGCCTTGCCAGTGTGTTTCATTCTTTCTTTCTTTTTATTTCACTGACTTTCAAATTACAACCTTAGTTAGTTAGTTAGTCTTTCCTCTTGTGTCGAGTGCGGCACATAGGGCAGAGGTCATGACTCTCCATGCGTGGCGGTTCGTTGCAATCTGTTGTAGGTCTTGGATGTTTAAGTGGCCCATGAGCGAGCCTTCCCTGATGATAGTTCTACGTAGGGTTTCCCTTGGTCTTCCACGAGATCTTTTCCCCTGTTGTATCCAAATGAGGGCTTGGTAAGGAAGTCTTGATTTATCCATTCTAAGGGCGTGGCCGACATAGTAATTACAACCTAAATAAGTAAAATGATCTGTCATTGTAATTCCTTCTGTTTCTAGTGTTACATCTCTTTTATCTGTTGTTTGTGTCTTCCATTTATTTGTCTTCTCATTACTTATGTGTGGTCCAACCCTTGATGCCATATTTGCTAAATTATATAATTTCCTTTGCATGCTGTGGCTGTTTTTACTTAGCAGAATAGTATCATTAGCAAAATCAGGATCTTCCAATTGTGTATCGTCCACTCAGTCAATGCAGATGTTTCCCACTCATAATTTTTGCATCACCCAGTCAATGGCTATGCCATATAACATCATCATCATCATGTGCCCTGCCAAGCCAAATAACAAGGGAGATAAATGCAGCCCTGCTTCACTTCAGTTCAAATTTAAATTATTTTCATTGGTATAGAATAGCATTCAAAGATTACCCATAGTGATGTGTGTAAGCTATCAAAATCCTTCCTAAAGTCTATGATGTAAGAATATATATATATATAAAGACAACCACAGATGTAAGATCTACCATAAACACAATTAAAGGTGTAAGATCTACCATAAACACAATTAAAGGTGCAAGAGCTTTTAAAAACACAACTAACCGATAATATATTTCATGAAATACCTTACGTCCTTTAGGACGTTTCCCATTTTTGTTATTTGAAGCCCCATCTGGCTTTAAACAGGGGCACAATATAGGCAGGCCATAAACACAATTGTCTGAACGCGGTTTCTGGGACCTCTCAACGGTGAACCCAATAAAATGGTGGCAGTTGTGTCATCGGGTGTTTATCGCTTGTGTGATGTCTTAGTGGGGTCCAAAAAAACTCACAATCAGTAAACGATTTCAGATATTCAATAAATACACTAAGAGATGTAGATATTCCATAAATACAATTACAGATGTAAGATTTTCCATAAACTAAACCACAGATGTCAGATCTTTCATAAACACAATTACAGATGTAAGAGCTTCAATAAACACGGTAACAAGTGTAAGATTTGCCATGTAAGATTTTCCATAAACACAATTAAAGATGTAAGAACTTCCATAAATACAATAATACAATCTTGCATAAACATAAATACAGATGTAAGATCATCCATAAACACAATTACAGATAAAAGATCATCCACAAACACAATTACACAAAAAAGATTTTCAATAGGCACACAATTACATATGTAAGATTTTCCATAGGCACAATTACATATGTAAGATTTTCATAGGCACAATTACAGATGTAACAAGTGGATACCTATCTTCTTACCTACACATGAATACTGGTCTTCATCGTTTCTGGTGACCTCTGAGAAGTAGAGCTTTCCACTATTGGAGACAAAGATGTAAGTCTGGAACTGAGTCCTGATAAATTGTTGGTCACTGCCTTTGTACCACTGGTAGCTGATGGCTGGAGGAGGAGACCATAGCAGAGTCATTGGGGACAACTTCACACCATAGTCAGGGACAAAAACAACAGACCATAGTCAGAGTCCGACTCGTAATTCCAACGTACCACGATCAAACAGACTGATGGCTGCGTGGATTTTTATCGTGGTATGGGACGTCGCAGGTCGACCCAGCCTAAAATGGATACCAGGATGTATGTCTTAGGGACATAAAGACGGCTGGTGTAAAGCTGACCATATTACCCACCTAGTGCTGAATGGTCTGTAAAAATATGGGTGCTCTTCCCATATGCCCGATGTGCCTAAAGGCTTGAAAAGGGATCTTTACTTTACTTACTTATAGTCAGGGACGACATCAAACCGTAAACATGGACAGCAACAACACACCATAGACAGGGACAACAACAACAGCACCATAGTCAGGGACAGCAACAACACACCATAGTCAGGGACAGCAACAACACACTATAGTCAGGAACAACAACAACACACTATAGTCAGGGACAGCAACAACACACCATAGTCAGGAACAGCAACAACAACACACCATAGTCAGGAACAACAACAACAACACACTATAGTCAGTGACAGCAACAACAACACACCATAGTCAGGAACAACAACAACACACCATAGTCAGGAACAACAATAACAACACACTATAGTCAGTGAACAACAACAACAACACACCATAGTCAGTGACAGCAACAACACACCATAGTCAGGAACAACAACAACACACCATAGTCAGTGACAGCAACAACACACCATAGTCAGGAACAACAATAAATACACACCATAGTCAGTGACAACAACAACACACCATAGTCAGGGACAGAAACACACAATAGTCAGGGACACAACACACATAGTCAGGAACAACAACAACACACCATAGTCAGGAACAACAACAACACACCATAGTCAGGAACAACAACAACACACCATAGTCAGGAACAACAACAACACACCATAGTCAGGAACAACAACAACACACCATAGTCAGGAACAACAACAACAACACACCATAGTCAGGAACAACAACAACAACACACCATAGTCAGGAACAACAACAACAACACACCATAGTCAGGAACAACAACAACAACACACCATAGTCAGGAACAACAACAACAACACACCATAGTCAGGAACAACAACAACACACCATAGTCAGGAACAACAACAAACAACAATAACACACCATAGTCAGTGACAGCAACAACAACACACCATAGTCAGGAACAACAACAACAACACACCATAGTCAGTGACAGCAACAACAACACACCATAGTCAGGAACAACAACAACAACACACCATAGTCAGGAACAACAACAACAACACACCATAGTCAGGAACAACAACAACAACACACCATAGTCAGGAACAACAACAACAACACACCATAGTCAGGAACAACAACAACAACACACCATAGTCAGTGACAGCAACAACACACCATAGGGACAACAACAACAACACACCATAGTCAGGAACAACAACAACACACACATAGTCAGTGAACAACAACAACAACACACCATAGTCAGGGACAGCAACAACACACCATAGTCAGGGACAGCAACAACACACTATAGTCAGGGACAGCAACAACACACCATAGTCAGGAACAACAACAACACACCATAGTCAGGAACAACAACAACAACACACCATAGTCAGGAACAACAACAACAACACACCATAGTCAGAACAACAACAACAACACACCATAGTCAGGAACAACAACAACACAACACACCATAGTCAGGAACAACAACAACAACACATCATAGTCAGGAACAACAACAACAACACACTATAGTCAGGAACAACAATAACAACACACTATAGTCAGTGACAGCAACAACACACCATAGTCAGGAACAACAACAACACACCATAGTCAGGAACAACAACAACAACACACTATAGTCAGGAACAACAACAACAACACACCATAGTCAGGAACAACAACAACACACCATAGTCAGGAACAACAACAACAACACACTATAGTCAGGAACAACAACAACAACACACTATAGTCGGGAACAACAACAACACACCATAGTCAGGAACAACAACAACACACCATAGTCAGTGACAACAACAACACACCATAGTCAGGGACAACAACAACAACACACCATAGTCAGGAACAACAACAACAACACACCATAGTCAGGAACAACAACAACAAAACACACCATAGTCAGTGACAACAACAACACACCATAGTCAGGAACAACAACAGTCACACATAACAGGAACAACAACAACAACACACCATATCAGTGACAGCAACAAACAACACACCATAGTCAGTGACAGCAACAACACACCATAGTCAGTGACAACAACAACACACCATAGTCAGTGACAGCAACAACACACCATAGTCAGGAACAACAACAACAACACACTATAGTCAGGAACAACAACAACACACCATAGTCAGGAACAACAACAACAAACACCACTATCAGTCAGGGACAACAACAACATAGTCAGGAACAACAACATAGTCAGGAACAGCAACACACACACCATAGTCAGGGAACAAACAACACACCATAGTCACTATAAACACAGGGACAGCAACAACAACACACCATAGTCAGTGACAGAACAACAACAACACACCATAGTCAGGAACAACAACAACAACAACAGCAACAACACACCATAGTCAGGAACAACAACAACACACCATAGTCAGGAACACAACAACAACACACCATAGTCAGTGACAGCAACAACACACTATAGTCAGGGACAGCAACAACACACTATAGTCAGGGACAGCAACAACACACCATAGTCAGGAACAACAACAACACACCATAGTCAGGACAGCAACAACACACCATAGTCAGGAACAACAACACAGTCACACATAGTCAGATCACAACATACAGAACACCATAGTCAGAGACAGTCAGGACAAACACAACACACCATAGTCAGGAACAACAACAACACACTATAGTCAGGACAACAGCACTACATACAACACACATAGTCAGGAACAACAAACAACACACTATAGTCAGGAACAAGCAACACACTATACCATAGTCAGGACAGCACAACACACTCATCAGGACAACATAACCTTAGTCAGGGACAACATCATGACATCATTGTCAGGGTCAACATCATGACACCATAGACAGAGGGAACAACATTATGACACCATAGTCAGGGACAACAACATCATGACACCATAGTCAGGGACAATATCATGACACCATAATCAGGGAGAACAACACACCATTTTCAGGGACAACACTTAACCATAGTCAGGGACAACATCATGACACCATGGTCAGGGACAACATTGAACCATAATCAGGTACAACATCATGACACAATAGTCAGGAACAACAACATCATGACACCATTGTCAGGGAGAACAACACACCATAGTCAGGGACAAACTGAACCATAGTGAGGGACAGCAACACACACCGTAGACAGAGACAATAACACCACACTTTAGTCAGGGACATTAACCTGGAGTGTACATCGAATTCCCAAATGGTACTAGGGATAAGTCCAGCGTACCAACCGGGAAGTACTGCCATAACTATGAAGCAGAAACTCAAGCTATCAAGATAGCAACAGAGAAACTGCTAAATACCCATCTTGGCTCACAGTATGTGGTAATGCTGACAGATGCTAAATAAGTACTTGAAGCACTCAGTCTAGGAAACTACCAGAATTGCAAACACAACTCAAGCCTTCAGCGAAGAGTCGTAATGCAATGGATACCGTCTCATTGTGGAGTGCCTGGAAATGAGAAAGCTGATCAACTGGCAGGGGAAGGTGCGACAAAAGAGCAGCCGGATGTACCAGTCACATACCACCAAAAGAAAAGAATCATTAAATCGATCAGGAAACCACCAGCCCCAGCACTAGACGACTATTTTATTATAGACAGACCAGAACAAGTCATTATCCTCCGCCTCAGAACAGGGCACAACCGATTACGTAACCATATGTACACAAAATTCAAAATAGGTAAATCAGCTATGTGCACCTGTCGAAATGTGCCCCAGACAGCAGAGCATGTACTCCAGGACTGCACCGAATTTGACACAATAAGGCAAACCTTTTGGCCAGAAAGAACAACAGTGGAACGTAAACTCTATGGACAACTGAATGAACTAACAACAACAGTTAAATTTATACAAGAGACAAAACTGATGATATAGACAACTTATTTCAGGCGAACGAAAGAAGAAAGAAGAAGAAGAAGGGACAATAACAACACACTGTAGTCAGAGACAATAACACACTATAGTCAGGGACAATATTATACCATACAGGGGGACAATATCACACCATTAGAGACATGTGTGCCTGTACAAGAGAGAGATTTACCAGTAAAAGAAAGATGTGTACTAGTACAAGAGAAATCTGCCAGTAATAGATAGAAGTACAGGTACAAGATAGATGTGCCAGTTAAAAATAGGTGTACCAGTACAAGAGAAATCTGTCAGTACAAGAGAGAAGTACCAGTATAAGAGTGATGTGCCAATACAAGAGAGGTGCACCAGTACAAGTTAGAAACATCTACCTGGCTTGTAGAAGATCTTGCTACACTGGACAGTGGCTCCCTCATAAGCCTTGGCTTTGGTGCCAGCGTCAGGGACATTGTTAAACTCTCCTAGACCTGTGGAAGAGGACATGTGTTGTTAATACCATATATACTCACTTCTACTGTCATTAAAACCAGGTATTTTTTCTTCTCAAGTCATGATACCGGGTATTCTCTCTTCTCATGTCATTAATACCAAGTATTCTCTCTTTTAATATAATTAATACCAGGTATTATCACTTCTAATGTCATTATACCATGCATTCTCTTCTCATTTAATTAATACCAGGTAATCTCTCTTCTAATGTCATTATTACCATGTATTCTCTCTATTAATGCCATTAATATCAGATATTCTCTCTTCTAATATCTTTAATACCAGGTATTCCCTCCTCTAATGTCATTAAAACTATTTTTTTTTTTCTGGTGTCTTTAATACCAGGTATTCCCTCTTCTAATGTCAGTTATAACAGGTATTCTCTCTTCTAACATCATTAATACCAGGCATTCTCTCTTCTAATGTCAGTAATAACAAAGTACTCTATATTCCAACACAAATAATACCAGGCACCCTCTCTTCTAACACCATTAATACCAGGCATTCTCTCAAGCAATGTAATTAATACAAGGTATTTCCTTTTCTATCTTCTTATTTAAATAATACCAGGTATGAACTATTTTAATGTAATTATGAGATATCCTCTCTTGTAATATCAATAATACCAAGTATTCTCTCTTCTAATGTCATTAATACCAGGTTTTCCCTCTTTTAGAGTCAATTAATATCAAGGTATTCTCTCTTTTTATTGTCACTAATACCAGGCATTCTCTCTTTTTTTTATTGTCATTAATACCAGGCATTCTCTCTTTTTTTATTGTCATTAATACCAGGCATTCTCTCTTTTTTTAATTGTCATTAATACCAGGCATTCTCTCTTTTTAGTGTAATTTATAACAGATATTTTCCCTTTTGGGTGTTAATAATATAAGTTATTCTCTCTTTTTAGTGCCACTGATACCAGATATTTTCCCTTTTTTGTGTCATTAATATCAAGTTATTCTCTCTACATTGGGAGGACTCGAGTGGAAAGTGTAACAAAGCATAAAGTACTGGGGTTGATCACTGATGCCAATCTAACCTTCAACTCACATGTACAAGCACTTGTGAAGCAAACAGCTAAAAAGGTTTACCAGCTTGCAAAAATTAAAAACTTTCTTGATGAAAACACAAGAAAGATATTCTATACTTCTCACATCCAGAGATATATATACACACTATTGCTCTACATTATGGGATGGCTGTTACAGTTCTGTTATCAAGAGGCTCACGTCACTTCAAAAGCACGCCATTCACTTATTAACTAATAATCATGGGACAGTGAGTTCTGAAACATTTAAAGGTCTTTTGCTACTACCGCTTCATGAACGTCTACTTTTCAATAAGGCAAAATTTGTGCAGAAAATATTATCCCAAAAGGCTCCATGTTACTTATGGCCGTTGTTTTAAATATAATGGAAGGTACAGTAAACACCTAAACATATTACATATCCCTAAACCTTGGATAGACCTTTACAAAACAAGTTTGGCGTATTCCGCAGCTCTATTGTGGAACTGTCTTCCACAGCAGGTCAAAAATACCACTAGTCCCTATAAGTACAATCAAAAACTGTTTGAATATTATCTGAGCACAGATTATATGCCCCCACAGAGGACCAAAAAAAAAATATTTTAGAAATAGTGCTCATTTTCCCTTGATTAATCACAACCATTATGGTTTATTGTAATTAGAAATGTAGACATTCCAGTGCTTGTACTGAATATTTTGATGCTATTGATAATGTTTATTACTTGATGTGTGAATGAAATGATGTAAGAATGAAGGGAGACCTCGAAGGGCAGAATGTTAGACGGGCCTGTGTGCCCAATTCTTAACCCTTTAAAAATAAAGTTTGTTCTATTAAGTGTCATTAATACCAGATATTTTCCATTTTGTTAGTGTCATTACTACCAGATATTCTCTCTTTTTAGAGTCATTAACACCAGATATTTTTTTTCCTTTTTTAGTGTCATTAATACCAGATATTCTCTCTTTTTAGTGTCATTAATACCAGATATTCTCTCTTTTTAGTGTCATTAATACCAGATATTCTCTCTTTCTAGTGTTATTAATACAGATATCTTTGTTTTAAAGCCATTATTGTTATATATATTCTGTTTTAATGTCATGCTGACCATCATCAATGTTTGGCTGTGTGACTACAGTAACCATTCCTCATGATCCAATAATGGCCAGTAAAAACAACAACTTTACACATGTTACTGAAACAACAACATTACACATGTTACTGAAACAACAACATTACACATGTTACTGAAACAACAACATTACACATGTTACTGAAACAACAACATTACACATGTTACTGAAACAACAACATTACACATGTTACTGAAACATCAACATTACACATGTTACTGAAACAACAACATTACACATGTTACTGAAACAACAACATTACTCATGTTACTGAAACATCAACATTACACATGTTACTGAAACATCAACATTACTCATGTTACTGAAACAACAACATTACACATGTTACTGAAACATCAACATTACATAAGATACTAAAGCAAACTTACTTCCAAAGGAGATTTCTGCGAAGGTGCTGATGACAGTTCCAAACTTGTTCTCAGCTCTGCACTGGTAGCGGTCTGAGTCCTTGGCCTCATCTGGCTTCATGATGGTTAGTTTTCCATTTGTGATAGCATATCTGTATCCATGTTCACACATACAAACATCTTATTGCAATAGCATATATGTATCCATGCACACACATACACATAAACATTTTTTTGTAATAGCATACCTGTATCCACACACATATATCTTATTGTAATAGCATATCTGTATCCATGTGCACACACACAAACATACCTTTGTAATAGCATACCTGTATCCACACACAAATATCATATTGCAATAGCATATCTGTATCCATGTGTACACACACAAACATACCTTTGTAATAGCATACCTGTATCCACACACAAACATCTTATTGCAATAGCATATCTGTATCCATGTGCACACACACACACATAAACATACTTTTGTAATAGCATACCTGTATCCACACACAAATATCTTATTGAATACCCGTGTATACATGGTATTCATATTGCGATAACTAACCTGTACCCATGTTTGTACAAACAAACATAGTATTCACACTGTGATAGCATGCTTGCACCCATGTCCACCTACAAACATGGTATTTATTTTGTGTGTGATGATGATGATGATGATGATGGTGATGACGATGATGGTCATGACGATGATGGTGATGATGATGATGGTGATGATGATGATGGTGATGGTGATGACGATGATGATGATGTCAATGACGGTGATGATGATGATGGTGATGACGATGATGATGATGTCGATGATGGTGATGGCGACTGTGATATAAACCAATAGAATATAAATATTATGTTTAGTGATATTGATATTCACAAATACTATATATAAATATTATGTGTGGTGATAATAATGTTCACAAATATAATATATAGATATTATGTCTGGTGATAATGATATTTAAAGATTTAATATATAGACACTGTGTGTGAGATGATGGTTACAGATAAAATATAGATTATGTTTGGTGATAATGATATTTACCGAAAGAATATATATATTATATGTGATGATAAGGATATTTACAGATATAATATGTAGATTTTATGTGTGGTGATAAGGATGTGTACAGACAAATAGATAGAAATTATGTGTGGTGATAATGCTATTTACGTATACATTATGTAGATATTATATGTATGTGGTGATGATGATGTTTACAGATAGAATATAGATACTGTATGTAGGGATTACGATGTTAACAGATAGAATATAAAAACCAAGTAAAGGTTAAGTGAATCAACAAATGCTCCAAGAATTTGACTGTTTTGACTGGAACCTCTCATTTATAACGTTTGTGACCTCATTTATTTCATATCTCCGCTGCCTAATTGTTCAAAATAAAGATTATTTATGAGGGAAAAAAGAAGAAAATACGATCAGTGCTCCCTAATGATGCCAACATGAGCTATTTAATAAAGAAAGTGCAGAGATGTCAGGAATCATTACCTGTGCCAAGAGGAGAGAAAACACACAGAAACACATAAACATGTCTATAAAGGTCAGAAATGTCAGCAGTCAGTCTGTCTGCACACTTGGAGATACCAACCGGCTATCTGTCTGGTCTGTAATCTCCTTGTCTCCCTTGAACCAGCGATAGGTGGCTGGGGGGTTGGCCTGCACTACACAGTCCAGGCTGACCGGTTCAGTTAAAGCACCAGGTTGGCTAATCACCACCATACTGTGGGGCTGGATAATGAAATGAGGCCCCATTTCCAGGCTGGCCATATCCGGGGAATCAATGCCATAGTCTGAAAGAGAGAAGTTACAACAACTGCACAGAGGCATAGTCTGAAAGAGAGAAGTTACAACAACTGCACAGAGGCATAGTCTGAAAGGAAAGTGAAAATATACATTACACAACATCACATTTTTAAAGCAAAAAGATACACAACATTTCACATCACAGACTGGAAGAGAAAAGATACAAAATTTCACAATACCACAGTCTGAAAAAGAAAAGATACATTTTGCAACAGAATAGTCTGGAAGAGAGAAGATACAACATTTCACAGTGGCATAGTCTGGAAGAGAGAAGATATAACATTTCACAGTGGCATAGTCTGGAAGAGAGAAGATATAACATTTCACAGTGGCATAGTCTGGAAGAGAGAAGATATAACATTTCACAGTGGCATAGTCTGGAAGAGAGAAGATATAACATTTCACAACACCACAGCCTGGAAGAGATAAAATAAACATTTCACAATACCACAGTCTGGAAAAGATACATTTTGAACAGCACAGTCTGGAAGAGAGAAGATACAACATTTCAAAGTGGCATGGTCTGGAAGAGAAAAGATACAACAGTTTACAACACCACAGTCTGGAAGAGATACAACATTCTAGTGGTATTGTTTGAAATGACAAGACATGATATTTCACAACACAATAGTTTTGAAAAGACAAGAAAATACAACATTCCAAACAACTAAAGGCTTCTATATACAACATTTCCCAATAACAGGAGGTTCTTCTACACATATCACAACAGCATGGGAGTTATTCAGATAGAAAATATATCTTTATACATTTAAAGATAAGAAAACAATTATGCATACAACAAAAACAAAAACAACAACAGCTACAACAACAAAAACAACAGCTTTAACAAACAATAACAACAGCAATAACAAACACTATCCACATACCACATCTAATTCTGCCCACAATAACTACAGTTTCAGCAACAACAACAACAACATCATTAACAACAAGATGAGCAGCAGCTAAACAAGAACAAAAGCTACAACAACAGCAGCAACAACAACAGCAACAACAATAGATTCAACAACAACAGCTACAACAACAGCAACTTTAACAGCCACAATTACAACAGCAATAACAACAGCAGCAACAACAACAGAAACAATCATGGATTCAACAACAACAGATATAGCTGTAGTACAGCTCTCTTCTTTGTGTATGCTGATGTCACATGCAGGTTGGTCTTTAGTTTGCTATGTGGACTCTTAACATCTTAGTAGTGTTTCTAACTAATGTGTCTCAGTTGACCATGGATCCATGTTCCTGTCTGCTGTCTCTGTAGCTCAATGTCTTGTTTCATGTCTCCTTGCAAGTGTCTGTCTTCGAGGCTCAATGTGACTGACTCCCCTTCTTCTACTGTTGAGCTGGCATCTCCACAACTGAAGGCTCTTCATCTGCTAGGGTCCATGTAACTAGTCCCTTTTCTTCTAAGTCTCTTGGACTGAAGAATGAAGATTCTCAATTTTGACGGTGCATATTACTAGCCCTTCCTCTTTCAAGTCTCGATGACTGAAAACTGAAGATTGCTCAAGTGGTTTCTTATTTGCTGGAATGTGTGGCATGTGTTTGTCTGCTCACTACTGCTTCTGGAAGATTCGTGTGTGCTAAAATTTGTTTACTATGTATGTTCTCCACATGGGATTTTCTAATTGCGTTTGGATTGCATTAGATAGTCTACACCAAAATCATCATCAGGTGCCTTGCCGACTGGCATGAGTGATCATGCCTCTCCACAATCTGCGATCACCTGCAGCATGTATCAGTTTGTGTGCTGACACACCTCCATGCCATGCAACAAGACTGTCAAGAATCTTCTCTCGTTGTCTTCATATATCCCTCCTTCTACAGATCTTTCCAGTGGTCACAACATGGTCTATTTTCTCTCTTCTCATAACATGGCCGAAAAATAATGACTGTCTTGTCTGTGATAAGTTGTCTTCGGGCTCCCCCCTCTTTCAAAACCTCAGTTGCTATTTTTGGCTGTCCAAGGTATTCTAAACATTCTACAGTAAAACCACATCTCTGAGGCCTCAAGAAATACCAAAATACGCTTTTTAAATTGACAGCTTGTTTCTGGGGCCTTCCAAAAAGCGAGTACTTCTGCGATTTCTTTGACTGGGCATGTCAACGATTACATCAGATGCTATTTATATAACTAGGTTATTAATGTGCAAATAACTCTCTGCTAATAAACAAACGCTGGATCTAGAAAGGGAATGTCAAGGTTGCCAAGACTTTTTGATTTGGATCTATTCTAACTGTGTGCAATATTTTATCTGGTGATAAACATTTGTTGGTTCTAGAAACAACCCTGTTACAGCAGCTTAAATAACAACAACAGCTTAAACAAACAACACCTTCTTCTTCTGCGTTCGATAAAACACAAACAACACCAAAAGCTACTAAAACTACAACAATAACAGCAACAGTAACAAAAACAGCTTCAACAAACAACATCAAATTGCTACTACAACTACAAAAGCAGTAGCAACAACAACAATAACAGCTTTAACAATAATAACAGCAACAATTAACACTAGCCACATACCAAAACCTCTATCTGTCAACATTATCCTGTAAGCTTCTTGCATGGAGATCTTGCAGATATAGGGTCTCTTGACTGTGGGGTCAGCCAAAACCCAGCCAGGTCCCGTCTCTGTCAGACAACAGTTACAATATGTCAACAGTCAACATAGGAGACACAGAATGTCAAAATCAACATAGGGGACACAGAATGTCAAACTCAACATAGGGGACACAGAATGTCAAACTCAACATAGGGGACACAGAATGTCAAAGTAAACATAGGGGACACAAAATGTCAACAGTCAACATAGGGGACACAAAATGTCAACAGTCAACATAGGGGACACAAAATGTCAACAGTCAACATAGGGGACACAGAATGTCAACAGTCAACATAGGGGACACTGAATGTCAAACTCAACTTAGGGGACACAAAATGTCAACAGTCAACATATGGGACACAAAATGTCAACAGTCAACATAGGGGACACTGAATGTCAAACTCAACTTAGGGGACACAAAATGTCAACAGTCAACATAGGGGACACAGAATGTCAGCAGTCAACATAGGGAACACAGAATGTCAGCAGTCAACATAGGGAACACAGAATGTTAACATAGGAGACACAGAATGTGAACTGTCAACAAAGGAGACACAGAATGTGAAATGTCAACATAGGAGACACAGAATGTGAACTGTCAACATAGGAGACACAGAATGTGAACTGTCAACATAGGAGACACAGAATGTCAGCAGTCAACATAGGGAACATGGAATGTAAACTGTCAACATAGGGAACACGGAATGTAAACTGTCAACAAAGGAGACAAAGAATGTGAACTGTCAACACAAGGGACACAGAATTTCAACAGAAAACGTAGGGGTATCCATTAGTTCCCCATTTCACCATCTTACAATAGTTCTGGGGTCTTTCATTAGTTCCCCATCCCATCATCTTACTTTAGTTCCATGACCTTATCATTAATTTTCTGTCTCCTCCGCTTACATAAATTCCATGACCCTGTCATTAGTCTTCCATCTCATCATCTTACATCAGTTCTACAACCCTGTCATTATCTCCCATCTCATCATTTTACATGATTTACACAGTCCTGTCATTAGATCCCTATCTCGTCATCTTACTCTAGTTTCATGGCCCTGTCATTACTACCCCATCTCATCATCTTACATTAATTACACAGCTGTGTCATTAGTTCCTATCTCATCATCTTACAGTAGTTCCATGACCCTGTAATTACTTCACCATCTCATCATCTTACATTAGTTCCTTGGCCCTGTCATTACCTCCCCATCACATCATCTTACATTAGTTACACCTTCCTGTCATTAGTTCCCCATTGCATCATCTTACAATAGTTCCATGGCCCTGTCATTACTTTCCCATCTCATCATCTTACGTTAGTTATACATTCCTGTCATTAGTTCTCCAACTCATCATCATACAATTGTTCCATGGCCTGTCATTACTTCCCCATTCCAACATCTTACACTAGTACCATGTCCTGTCATTACTTCCGGTTAAAATGGACGCTAGACAGCGGCGCCGTTTGGAACAGAGGCAAATTTTTTGCTTCTGCCGGACGGTGGCCGATGCATTTTTGCTCCATTTGTAGACTGGATATAGTTTCGTCGCCCAGCTTCTGAGTTGAATGCATGGCGTGACCCTGTGAGCTGCGGATTGCATTTGGAATGTTTTTTTTTTTGACTGTGACCAACGTGGTGGTGTGAATTGTAGATTCAGAAAATGGCACGATGCCTGTCGTTCAATGCTTGCGGGACCCGTATTAAAATTGATCACGCGGACAACTGCTGATCTGTTGACGACAAGTTCTGCTATCATCAATGATGAACTGCATTTCTAATGTTGGACTGTTTGTGTTAGCACTTCGGATGGCTACCATATGCTTTAATGCGAGTGTATGCTAGATATGCTGAGACAGCAGTCTGTCAATCTTTCCACAAGGGACTGTGATAGATATTCTGAGTGTTTTTCGTTGGCACAGGAGCGGAGCAAAGATGGGGCAACCCGTTTGCTATGAAGCTGAAACTAAGACTAAGACTACCAGACTACCAGATTACTTCCCTATCTCATTATCTTACACAGGTTACACAGTCCTGTCATTAGTTCTCTAACTAATCATCTTACACTAGTACCATGTCCTGTCATTACTTCCCCATCTCATCATTTTACACTAGTTACATGGCCCTCTCATTAATTCCCTGTCTCCTGATCTTACACTATGAAAGTTTATTTTACAATAGAGAGTACTCACATCCATGTAAATGTTTGTATGACAATAGAGAGTGCTCACTTTCATAAGTGCAAAAGTTTGTATGACAATAGAGAGTGCTCACTTCCATAAGTGTACATGTTTATATGACAATGGATAGTACTCACTTCTATAAGTGTAAAAGTTTATATGACAATAGAGAGTACTCATTTCCATAAATGTGAAAGTTCATATGACAATAGAAAGTACTCACTTCCATAAGTGTAAATGATGACCTTCCTGGAACCGGTGTAACTCGACTGGTTGAGCCACACAGAGCTAAGTGATGGATCTATCTGCTCACCAGTGCTCTCCCAGATAAAGCCTGTACCATTGACAACAATAGTCCCTGGCAACACTGGAACTCCACTGGTGTACCAGTCTTGCCTGGTGGAAAGTCAAACCAAAACTCACAAATGCTGAATGGACTAGGCTAGCTAATAAATTGCATAAGTTATAATTTACATAGCTATATTTTTTTTCAAATATCTAATAGTGCTATAGTGTGGATACATATCTAACAGTGCTATAGTGTGGATAAATATCTATCAGTGCTATATTGTGGATACATATCAAACAGTGCTATATTGTGGATACATATCTAACAGTGCTATATTGTGGATACATATCTAACAGTGCTATATTGTGGATACATATCTAACAGTGCTATAATGTGGATACAGATCTAACAATGCTATAATGTGGATACAGATCTAACAGTGCTATAATGTGGATACAGATCTAACAATGCTATAATGTGGATACAGATCTAACAGTGCTATAATGTGGATACAGATCTAACAATGCTATAATGTGATGCACATCAGATGGTGCTATTATGTGGATACAGATATAACAGTGCTATAATAGGGTACAGATCTAAGAGTGCTATAATATTAAACTTATCTGACAGTTATATCATTTTGATTCATTTTTGCCAGTCATATATTTTTCTACAAAAGAACATAATCAATTTCCCAAGCAAAGACAAGCAGACAAAAGACAGAAATGAAATGTTTTCATATTTTATACTGTCCCCACCATTGTATGCCTGTCAAACATGGACACTGAAAAAAGGAGAAAGAGCAAACTAAAGCCCACAGATGCGGTTTCTTAGTAGAAAGCTTAGAATCTCCAGCACAGGCCAGAATCTCCAAGGCAGCTCAGAATCCCAAGTAGAGGTCAGAATCTTAATGGCAGCTGAGAATCGCAAAAGCAGTGGAGAATCTTAAGGGAAGCCGAGAATCTCAGTGAGAGCTCAGAATCTCAAGGACAGCTGAGAATCTCAAGAGCAGGTGAAAATCTCAAAGACATGTCAAAGTCTGAAGGGCAGCTGAGAATCTCAAGAGCAGGTGAAAATCTCAAAGACATGTCAAAAGTCTGAAGGGCAGCTGAGAATCTCAAGGAAAGCTCTGGGTCTCAAGAGCAGCTGAGAATCCCATGAACAGATGAAAACCTCAAGATCATCTGGGAATCTCATGAACAGATGAAAACCTCAAGATCATCTGGGAATCTCAAGGAAAGCTGAAATTTTAAGAGCAGCTGAGAATCTCAAGAACAGATGAGAACCTCAGGAACAGATAGGAATCTCAAGGACTGGTCAGAATCTCAAGAACAAGGGAGAATCTAACGGACAGGTCAGAATCTCAAGAACAAATGAGAATCTCACAGACAGGTCAGAATCTCAAGAACAAATGAGAATCTCACGGACAGGTCAGAAATCCAATGTTTGAATACAGACTGAGATCTCATAACTGTGGCCAATGAGCTAACAAGACCAGGCTGTCATGATGATAATCATAATAATAATGATGATGATGCTGGTGAAGTATCATTTCATGAGAAAGATACCAGTGATAACTATCATTTCATGAGAAAGATACCAGTGATAACTATCATTTCATGAGAAAGATACCAGTGATAACTATCATTTCATGAGAAAGATACCAGTGATAACTATCATTTCATGAGAAAGATACCAGTGACAACTATCATTTCATGAGAAAGATAAGAATGATAATTATCATTTCATGAGAAAGATACCAGTGACAATTATCATTCCTGATAAAGATACCCATAACAAGTATCATTTAATGAGAAAGATGCCAGTGATTAGTATCATTTCATGTGAAAGATACCAGTGACAAGTATCAGTTGATTGAGACAGATTCCAGTGATAACTATCATTTCATGAGAAAGATAAAAGTGATAATTATCATTTCATGAGAAAGATACCAGTTGCAATTATCATTCCTGATAAAGATACCAGTAACAAGTATCATTTAATGAGAAAGATGCCAGTGATTAGAATCATTTCATGTGAAAGATACCAGTGATGAGTATCAGTCGATTGAGAAAAATACCAGTGATTATTTTCATTTCATGAGGAAATACCAGTGACAACTAACATATCCTGAGAAAGATACCAGTGACAATTATCATTGCCTGAGAAAGACAGGGTAGATGGACACTCACTGAAATGGATCATTCTGTTGCATCCATTGGACAATGAATGTGTTCTCTGCCATGTTGTCAACACTGAGAACACCAGCTCCATTCAGCTGAAACGTCCAACAACAAATTACCAACAAAATAAACACCTGCTCCATTCAGAGGAAACGTCCAACAACAAATTACCAACAAAATAAACACCTGCTCCATTCAGCTGAAACGTCCAACAACAAATTACTAACAAAATAAACACCTGCTCCATTCAGAGGAAACATCCAGCAACAAGTTATTAACAAAAAAAACACCTGCTCCATTCAGCTGAAACATCCAACAACTTACCAACAAAATAAACACCTGGTCTATTCAGCTGAAACATCCAACAAGTTCCAACAAAATAAACACCTGCTCCATTCAGCCGAAACATCCAACAAGTTCCAACAATATAAACACCTGGTCCATTCAGCCGAAACATCTAACAACATATCATCTACAATATAAACACTTGCTTTAGCAAAACTGTAGATCTCCATCCAATGGTGGTCCTATTGTGTGAGTATGTGTGCAAATGAACCACAAACAGGAATTGATGCCACAGACAGAACTAGGTCAGCCTTGCTCCAGAGATAGCATGGGAATCCCTGGTTAGAATTCACCTCTCACATCTCAGTCTACAGGACATCGTCTGGTGTTGGTGGGGGGGGGGGGAGCAGGTCGTGCTTGTAGTATGATGTAGGTCTTACCATGGTTGATGGGGGTTGGGGGGAGGGGGGCTGCAGGTCTTGCATGTAGTGTTTTGTAGGTTCTCCAACATCATACATGTAACATCACCAAGGTCCTACAATGTGCTACAGCTTTCATGCATTGCAGTGGTTTTTGTTTTAAACAATGAACTTTCTTAATATAAACAGCAGTTACACAAAGAGCTTACATGGCATAAATTGCTGTGACTCAGAGAACTTACATCGTATAAATCGTAATGGCACGCAGAATTTACATTATATAAATAGTAATGACACAGAGAACGTACATTATATTAACTGCAACGACACTAAGAAATTACATGGCATAAATTGCATAAACACAATTAAATTACATTACATAAAACGTAATGACATAGAGAACGTAAACTATACAAATAGACACGGGACAAAGAACTTACATTACATAAATCGTAATGACATAGAGAAGATAAATTATACAAATAGACACGGGACAAAGAACTTACATTACATAAATCGTAATGACATAGAGAAGGTAAATTATACAAATAGACACGGGACAAAGAACTTACATTACATAAACCGTAATGACATAGAGAAGGTAAATTATACAAATAGACACGGGACAAAGAACTTACATTACATAAATCGTAATGACATAGAGAAGATACATTATACAAATAGCAACGAGACAAAGAACTTACATTACATAAATCGTAATGACATAGAGAAGATACATTATACAAATAGCAACGAGACAAAGAACTTACATTACATAAATCCTAATGACATGGAGAAGGTGCATTATACAAATAGCAACGAGACAAAGAACTTACTTTACATAAATCGTAATGACATAGAGAAGATACATTATACAAATAGACACGGGACAAAGAACTTACATTACATAAATCGTAATGACATAGAGAAGATAAATTATACAAATAGACACGGGACAAAGAACTTACATTACATAAATCGTAATGACATAGAGAAGGTAAATTATACAAATAGACACGGGACAAAGAACTTACATTACATAAATCGTAATGACATAGAGAAGATACATTATACAAATAGCAACGAGACAAAGAACTTACATTACATAAATCCTAATGACATGGAGAAAGTGCATTATACAAATAGCAACGAGACAAAGAACTAACATTACATAAATCGTAATGACATAGAGAAGATACATTATACAAATAGACACGGGACAAAGAACTTACATTACATAAATCATAATGACATAGAGAAGGTGCATTATACAAATATCAACGAGACAAAGAACTTACATTACATAAATCGTAATGACATAGAAAATGTGCATTATACAAATAGCAACGAGACAAAGAACTTACATTACATAAATCGTAATGACATAGAGAAGGTGCAATATACAAATAGCAACGAGACAAAGAACTTACATTACATAAATCGTAATGACATAGAGAAGGTGCATTATACAAATATCAACGAGACAAAGAACTTACATTACATAAATCCTAATGACATAGAAAATGTTCATTATACAAATAGCAACGAGACAAAGAACTTACATTACATAAATCGTAATGACATAGAGAAGATACATTATACAAATAGCAACGAGACAAAGAACTTACATTACATAAATCGTAATGACATAGAAAAGGTGCATTATACAAATAGCAACGAGACAAAGAACTTACATTACATAAACCGTAATGACATAGAGAAGATACATTATACAAATAGCAACGAGACAAAGAACTTACATTACATAAATCCTAATGACATGGAGAAAGTGCATTATACAAATAGCAACGAGACAAAGAACTAACATTACATAAATCGTAATGACATAAAGAAGATACATTATACAAATAGACACGGGACAAAGAACTTACATTACATAAATCCTAATGACATAGAGAAGGTGCATTATACAAATAGTAACGAGACAAAGAACTTACATTGCAACTGCCCCTGGCATTGTCATAAGACAGCGGCACGTCGGCCTCAAACCTGTAGCAGAATCCGTTGTTAGTGAACCAGCTGGATGGACAGTCTGTGGACCCAACCACGTCATCCAGGTCAGTTCTTGCACTCAGATTCCCCCAACCTTCTTCTCTCTCTCTCTCTCTCTCTCTCTCTCTCTCTCTCTCTCTCTCTCTCTCTCTCTCTCTCTCTCTCTCTCTCTCTTTGACTCCCTGCCTATCTGTCCTTCCTCTCGTTATCTCTATTTCTCTCTTTCCCTTTCTCTGTTCTCTTTCTCTTTTCTCTCTCGTTTCTCTCTATATGTTTGTCAATTTTTTCTCTCTTGTTCTCTCTCTCTCTCTCTCTCTCTCTCTCCCTCTCTCTCTCTCTCTCTCTCTCTCTCTCTCTCTCTCTCTCTCTCTCTCTCTCTTTTTTTTTTTATCCAACTTTCCCTCTCTGATAGTTGACAGCCAGCCAAGGTTCAAACCTAAACTAAACACTCTTGTCGTACGACGCTGACAAACATGACAGGTAACTGCCACTTTAACAGCAACGAAGGCAACATTTGACATGGTTGATCACAATATTTGAAGAAGAAAAAAAATAGTACGGAATGCTTATAGAACCACCTAAATCAAATTAGTAACAAAGGGGAGAAATATAATATGACAATAAACACTACGAAGACAGAGACAATGGTGATAGGAAGACAGAAACACAATTTAGAAATAAAATTAAAAAACAACACCTTAAGACAAACAGGGGAATTTAAGTATTTGGGAGCAATTTTCACATCCAACGGAAAACTGGACAGAGAAAATTAGCTCGTGATGTGCCAAAGCTAATCAAGTAAAGGGGCAACTATCTTCCCTGTTGACACACAAGCAGATACCCCGGAGTACTAAAGTGAATCTTATCAGAACTATTTTTTGGCCAACACTATGCTATCAGTACCAAACGTGGACACTCACACCCTCCAATGAACGTAAAATTGTGACAACAGAGATGAAATGCCTTAGAAGCGCTGCAGGAGTTTCAATGAAAGACAGAATACGAAATCACGAAATTAGACGAATGCTAGGAATAAAGCCAGTCTTATAGGTCATCAAAGAACAACAAATGAAGTGGTTTGGACACCTAACAAGAATGCCTTGGTACTATTTACTACAGCGAGCCACACTAAAACGTTACAACGGGTATAGAGCGAGTGGAAGACCTCGAAAAATATGGAGTGATGGCATTAAGAACCGCCTTACAGAAATAAACATCAGTCTTAAAAGTTTTTGTGATAAGTACATATGTGTGTATGTGTGCTTGTGTATGTATGAGTCTGTGTGTGTATGTGTGTTTGTGCATGAATAGGTATGAACGAGTGTGCGTGTATGTGGGCGTCCATGTATGTATTTGTCTAGTAAAGTTAGCCTGTCCGACAAGACCTAAATGATGACTCACTTGCTCACCTCTACAAGCGAAAAGTTATACGCATGGCCTACGACCACCAAAGCGGCATCTGCCTGTTTAGCAGGAAAATTGCTAGCCAGAATCATCCTGACTCGCCTTACAACACACCTTGATCAAGGTCTTCACAACACATCTTGATCAAGGTCTTCTGCCTGAGATCGGGGGTACCACTGATATTTGCTGCAGAGCAGCTGCAGGGAAAATGTCAAGAGGACAATGTTGATTTGTTCTATGCCTCCATTGACCTGACCAAGGACTTCGACACAGTCAACAGAGATGGACTGTGAAAAATCATGGCAAAATGTGGCTGCCCACGAAAGTTTTCAACAATAGGGAAGCAAAATCATGAAGGAATGCAGGCAAGAGTTAAGGAACATAGACAGCTCTCAGAGTATATTAATAATACTTTTAGTCCTTTTTAGGATGAAATTTTTTTCGTTATTTGAAGCCCTACTCTTACTTTTGCCAGGGGCCGCAATATAACCTGGCCATAAATATGGTCTAAAGGATGAACGCAGTTTCTGGGACCTCTTCACGGTGATCCTCACCCACATGGTGGCACATCGTGTCATCGGGTGTTTATCGCTTGTGTGATGTCCTGGTGGGGTAGAAAGTCAGTCTCGGAGCATGATATGGTCTCAAACGGAGTAAAGCAAGGGTGTTTGCTTGCACCAGTACTGATCAGCATCGTATTTTCCGATATGCTGACTGATGTCTTCGGTGATGGGGAGTCTGGTATCGATATCAGATATCGCACTGATGGCGGTCTATTTAATCTTAGAAGGATAAGTGCTAAAACCAAAGTGAAGTCAGACACCATTAGAGAATTTTTCGCTGATGACTGTTCTATCTGTGCCAGCTCAGAGCCTGAACTACAACTTAGTATAACCAAATTATCCGAAGCATGTATACACTTTGGGCTTATCATAATTACTGACAAAACTTAAATAATGTTCCAGCCAGCCCCATGAACAAGTCTACTTGAACCAAACATCACAATCAAGGGCAAAGCACTAAAGACAGTAGACAGGTTTACATTTCTTGGCAAAGGGGGCTGAGTGGTCTCGAGATATGGAGTCAGCCTCGGGTTCAAACCCAGGTGAAGGCTGGGATTTTTCACGGAACTTTAGTAATTTCTCCCTGGTCTCTAGGTAGTAAGATCGGACACCCGTGTGTATTGTTACGCACGTACAAAATCCCTTGGCCGTTTAAAATTAAAGAGAGTAGCCTAACGCGCTGCCCGGGCAAAATTTGGAGTTTAAAATCTACCCAAAGTATTTTGGGATCCTTGCCGGTGCAACAGAGTTCCTTCATTAAACTGAGATTCTTCAGACTTGAGTTAGAAGTACAGCGTAGCACATACAGGTACTTAAGACCAGAACTTATCGGAGACGTTTATCACAGACAGGTATTTAAAAACAGAACTGATCAAAGAAGTTTAGCACATACAGGTATTTAAGGACAGAGCTGATCAGAGATGTTTAGCACAGACAGGTATTTAAGGACAGAGCTGATCAGAGATGTTTAGCACAGACAGGTATTTAAAGACAGAACTGATCAGAGAAGTTTTGCACATACAGGAATTTAAGACCACAACTGATCAGAGAAGTTAAGCACACACAGGTTTTTAAAGACAGAACTGATCAGAGAAGTTTAGCACACACAGGTATTTAAAGACAGAACTGATCAGAGAAGTTTAGCCCATACAGGCATTTAAGAACAGAACTGATCAGTGATGTTTAGCACATACACGTGTAATGTGTTTAGTGCATAAACGTGTTGAAGGACGAAACCTCTCAGAGATGTTTAGTTCATACAAGTATTTAAGACCAGAATTAATCAGTGATGTTTAGCACAGACAGAGATGTAAGGACAGAACTAATCAGTGATGTTTAGTACACACACACGTGTTTATGGACAGAAGTGATCAGTTGTGTTTAGTGTATACACATTTTTAGGAGCGGAACTAATAAGAGATGTTGAGTTCATACAGGTATTTAAGAGCAGACCTGATCAGAAATGTTTTGAACATGCACGTGTTTAAGAGCAGAACTTCTTAGAGAGATGTGTAATACACGTACAAACACGTATTTAAGGATAGAACTCCTCAGGGACGTTTAGTACATACAATATTTTTAAAGACATAACTTCTTGTATATGTTTTGTACATACACATAAACAGACAGAATGCATATACTGTAGATGTTTTATACATACACATGTAAAGACAAGACACAACAAACTTACCATAGATGTTTTGTGAGGAGGTTATTCCCAAGAGGGCGGTCAACAAGGTCAAAGAGTACAGCATTCCTAGGTCTAGCTGTTAGCCATCTGTACACACAAAAATATGGTCACCATCGACTTTATGTCATCAACTCCACATCATTAACTCTAAATCATCAACTCTACATCATCAATTCTACATCATTAACTCTAAATCATCAACGTTATATCATCCTCTACATCATTAACTCTAAATCATCAACTTTATATCATCAACTCTACATCATTAACTCTAAATCATCAACTTTATATCATCAACTCTACATCATTACCTCTATATCATAACTCTACATCGTCAACTCTACATCAGCAACTCTACATCATCAGCTCTACATCATCAACTCTACATCATTACCTCTATATCATAACTCTACATCGACAACTCTACATCAGCAACTCTACATCATCAGCACTACATCATTAACTCTAAATCGTCAACTCTCAACCATCACCTCTATATCATCAGCTCTACATCATCAGCTCTACATCATCAACTCTACATCATCAACTCTGCATCATCAACTCTACATCATTAACTCTACATCATTAACTCTACATCATCAACTCTGCATCATCAACTCTACATCATTAACTCTACATCATTATCTCTACATCATCAACTCTGCATCATCAACTCTACATCATCAACTCTGCATCATCAACTCTTCATCATTAACTCTACATCATTAACTCTACATCATCAACTCTACATCATCAACTCTACATCATAAACTCTACATCATAAACTCTACATCATCAGCTCTATATCATTAACTCTACATCATCAACTTTAAATCATCAACTCTACATCATCAGCTCTACATCATTAACTCTACATCATCAACTCTACATCATTAACTCTGCATCATAAGCTCTACATCATTAACTCTACATCATCAACTCTAAATCATCAACTCTACATCATCAACTCTGCATCATCAACTCTACATCATTAACTCTACATCATTATCTCTACATCATCAACTCTACATCATTAACTCTACATCATCAGCTATACATCATCAACTCTACATCATCAGCTCTACATCATCAACTCTACATCATCAACTCTACATCATCAACTCCTCATCATCAGCTCTGTATATCAACTCTACATCATCAACTCTAAATCATCAGCTCTACATCATCAACTCTACTTCATCAGCTCTACATCATCAGCTCTACATAATTAACTCTACATAATTAACTCTACATCATCAACTCTACATCATCAACTCTACATCATCAACTCTACATCATCAGCTCTACATCATCAACTCTACATCATTAACTCTACATCAATAATTCTACATCATTAACTCTACATAATTAGCTCTACATAATTAACTCTACATCATCAATTCTACATCATCAACTCTAAATCATCAACTCTACATCATTAACTCTACATCATCAACTCTACATCATCAACTCTACATCATTAACTCTACATCTTCAACTCTTCATCATCGCTATCGTCGCCACCATTATCATCATCATCTTTCCTCCCTACCACCACCATCATCATCATATTACCTCCCTAGCACCATCATCATCATCATCATCTTTTCTCCCTACCACCATCATCATCTTCACCGCCATCAACACTAACATCACCACTGTTAGTGTAGCTCTTATGACACTAATCTGCGACATCATAATAGATCTTATCACCGCTGACCAAGTTTACTGAAGGCATTATCTGTTAACTGAGGGGTCATTTGTCATAACATCACCTGTCATGGTGTCATTGGCTAACTATGGCAAGTCAAAATATCACCTGTCTAATTACTACCCGTCTAATTATCACCTGTCAAAGTACCACCAGTCGAGGTTACTTTTCTAGTAGCGGAGGGGTGGGGTAGAGGATTTCAATCAAGAAGCTGAAGCCTTTTTAAGTACATAGTGAAAATATTATAATTACGCGCTGAATAGCAAATGAACATAATAATATCTCTGAAATAATAGGAAACTTAGAAACACATATTTAGAAGGATACATTTTTTACATAGTCGGATGGGGTTGGGTGACATAAGTATAACTTTCTTGGGCGGTGGAAAGGGGGGGGATCAGCCATTATAAATTATTAGAGGGGTTTAGCCCCCTAAAATCAAATAATTGGGTTTTTACAAGTGAGTGCGCTGAAGATGCGTGAGCTCCCAAGTTCCGGCATTCCTGTTTGAGACAGGTCTTTTCGGGTCAGCAGTCCAGACAGTTACTAACAATACCCCTCGTTTGAGACATGTCTTGTCGGGTCAGCAGTCCAGACAGTTACTGGCGATACTCCGCGTTTGAGACAGGTCTTGTCGGGTCAGCAGTCCTGACAGTTACTAACAATGCCCCACGTTTGAGACAGGTATTGTCGGGTCAGCAGTCCAGACAGTTACTAACAATACCCCACGTTTGAGACAGGTCTTGACGGGTCAGCAGTCCAGACAGTTACTAACAATACTCCACGTTTGAGACAGGTCTTGTCGGGTTAGCAGTCCAGACAGTTACTAACAATACCCCACGTTTGAGACATGTCTTGTCGGGTCAGCAGTCCAGACAGTTACTAACAATACCCCACGTTTGAGACCTGTCTTGTCGTTTCAGCAGTCCAGACAGTTACTAACAATACCCCACGTTTGAGACATGTCTTGACGGGTCAGCAGTCCAGACAGTTACTAACAATGCCACACGTTTGAGACAGGTATTGTCGGGTCAGCAGTCCAGACAGTTACTAACAATACCCCACGTTTGAGACAGGTCTTGTCGGGTCAGCAGTCCAGAGAGTTACTAGCAATACCCCACGTTTGAGACATGTCTTGTCGGGTCAGCAGTCCAGACAGTTACTAACAATGCCCCACGTTTGAGACATGTCTTGACGGATCAGCGGTTTGAGTTTGAGAGCCCTTGAAGCGACGCGCGCGAGCATAAAAACCTGCGAGTATTTAAACACCAAACTAGCCTTTTTCGGCGCCAAAATTATAGGCTATGTTTGAAAATTGTAGAGATGAGTGTCTGAGCACCCGCCGTGTCTTCAATCTGACACAATAAATGTATAATGGGTTATTTATAGCCGCGTACTTGCCTCCACGCTTCGATTGATGTCGGCGGGCAGGTAAACGGTGACTGGGTGCAACTGAATAGCTCTTGAGCCCGCCCAATCAGTGTCTTCACTACACATGTGTCAACTAGCCGCACCGATTATTTACATATGAATGTTTTCTAGCTGCATTTCGGCAAGTTGAGCAGCAACACAACTGAGGGTTCCCAGAGCCACTTCACTAGACCCTGGCGCTCAGGTCGCCTGCTTTATTCTGCCACAATACAAGTTATTTAATCTCACATCGGTACTGGTCTAGCTATGTGTGTGCTGCCTGCTTGTGTCTGAATCTTTTCCACAGCTATTTGTGTTTTTCATTTGACTGTGATCTGCCTATGAAAGGCGAGAATTGGGCACACGCAATGTACACATCAGCAGATTTTCCGGGTATCTAGCAGTAGATTGTGATAATCTAAATCTACACACACACACACATACACACGCCCACACACATGCACGCAAACACGTGCATACACAGCAAAACCTCGATAGACGCTCGCTTTGGTATAGATACAACTTGGTATATGTCCTGCTGAGACGCGAAACATTTGCTAGCTATATGCACTGTGTTTGGAATACGTCCCACGTATGAGTCAAAATAAGTCAGGACACTGCGCACTACCCCTGTTTACCTCCGTCTCTAATCAAGGAAATTTTTGCCACATGAATAGATGTCAACAACTATGCACAGAAGTAAGTAAAGGACTCTTTTCTACGACTTTAGTCTATACGGCATATAGGGCTAGACCTATATTTTATAGACCAATCGGCACAAGATGGATGATGTGATCAGTATCACCCCTGCCGCCTTTACTTCCCGGGACTGCACCCGGTACCCACTCAAGGCTGGGTCGACCTGGGAGCCAAAGTCATTTTTAAAAAAAGTCCTGATCCACTAGGGAGCGAACCCACGACCTTCAAATCCTTGGCGAGCGTCTAGCCACTCCGCCACGGCGACTCCCAAGCACAGAAGTACCAATCCAATAAAGCCCAAACAAACCATTAAAGAAAACATACTACAATAGCTAATGATTTTTTGGGCAAGACGAGTTTTATCTGACCTTTGATCACTCTCAAATGCATAAAAGTGTACAAGTATCGATTAAAAATACACACATTACTATGCATCCCCATTACAACCCGAGTGTTGAACCAAATATTGTCCATTTATTTGACTTTATTCACCATATTTTGTGTGTCCAAATGTTATTTTATATCACTATGCCCTTCAACATCTGCTAAAGTCAAAGTGTCTCTCGCAACACCAAGATCAAAATATATAAAACGTTGATTAGACCAGCCGTGTTATATGGCTCTGAAATTTGGAGCACAACTAAAAAAGATGAAGCCTTATTACCGGTTTTCGAAAACGCTGTCTTGCGACGAATCTTTGGACCCATCAAATATACAAACAGCGGGGAATGGGGAGTTAGAAGCGACAAGGAAATTCATAATCTGTTTAAATCACCATTGATCACTGGCATCATGAGAGCTAATAGACTGAAATGGTTAGGGCATATTGAAAAAATGTCAGATGACAGAGAAGTAAAAACTGTAAACACAACGGAGATGAATGGTCGTAGACCACAATGCAGACCAAAAAGACAATGGAGAGATAATATCAGTGTTGCCACTTTTCTTTGACAAAAAATATCCAAAACGGTGTCAAAAAATATCTAAAAAGATCTAAATCTGCGTAAAAAAGATCTAGAAAAAATATCCAAATTGAAAAGGTCAAAAATAACATAGCTTCTGTTATGACTTAGCCTATATAATTATGTCCTCACCTTCACTGATGTCTACCTCACAAGATCAACAGGATAAACTTAGCTTGGATAATGAAGTTGAAGCTTCAGATCCAAAATGACCCTGGTATGCTTTAGCTGTTCAAATTTCTTTATAAGTGGAACAGTAAGTAGGCTTATTTCTCTAGTCTC